TCACCTATCAGCTCCTTTCCTTGGATGGCTGGGCCCTCAGGCTGACCCACTCTGAGACATTTCATTTTTTGTCCTTTTATTCCCTGTCTTTTGTCTCCAGTTTGTCCCTGTATGTACCTGTGTCTAGCACATAGTAGAAGCTTAATACTTTATTTATAACATTTAGTATTTATAAGGTGTTTTAAGATTTGCAAAGCATGGAGCTCTTGCACTTCCACTTCTGGGAGCCAGGATGGCGGAATAAAAAAGTAGTTGCTCTCACCCTCCCTGTCAACCTGCGAAAACCTAGAAAATATCACCCTAGAAAAAAAAAACCTGGAACAGCTGAACTAAAAGAAAGACGGGGAACAGCAGTGCAGCAGCCCAGCAAACCAGTCTCCCAGTGCCTCCGCAAAAATAAGGGAAGCAGCACCACACATGGCCCCAGGAGGATAAGCACCTCGCAGCATTCATCTGAAAGGAGCTAAAAAGAAAACAACGTAGAGTCTTCCTAAAGTCCCAACCTTGCTGACTCCAACCCAACACCAAGTAAGCTGTCAGAACCCTACAACCTCCAATTGTCAACCAGGAGGAGATCCTGAAGCCCAGGTAGTAGAGCAGGCAAACACCAACACCTGGACCTCCGAGTGCCTCCGTAAGGGCTGGGGAACAGGTGGAGGCCAGCTCAGAAAACCACCAGGTGCCTCGGCACTCTACAGCAAAGGAATCTCCCAGTGCATTAGCAGAAAGGAGGGAGGCAGCATTGCCATGGGCCCCAGGCAGATAAACACCCTGCAGCACCCATCGAAAAGGAGCTGAAGAAAGCTAAAGGAAAGGAAAAGCAGGCAACCTAGAATTGCCTGAAAGTTCCAGCCTAACAACAGGTAAGCTGCCAAAACCCTACAGCCTCCAATTGCCAACATAAGAGGTCCCAGCACACAAAGCCAGTGACTAAGACCTAGGCTCCCAACACAAGAAGCTTGGGTCAGTGCTCTCTGTTCCCTAGCAGGAGAGCTCAATCTCTTTAAAGGCCAGGGAATAAAGAAACCATAAGTAAAAAGAAACATACCATAGATTCATGTTATGAGAAGAGTGGAGATCAAGACAGAAATTCTGAAGAGGACAACATTGTCAACAAACCCATATCTGCAACATCAAAAGGGAATATGAACTGGTCTGAAGCCCAAAAAGCCTTCTTAGAAGAGCTCAAAAAGGATTTTAAAAGTCTAATGAGAGAGGTAGAAGAATACTTAAAAAATACAATTGGCCAATTGGAAAAAAAGTACACTGAAGAAAACAAGCCTCTAAAAAACACAATTGGCAAACTGGAAAAAAAGTACACTGAAGAAAACAAATGCCTTAAAAATACAATTGGCCAATTGAAGAAGAAAGCCCAAAAGCTAACAGAAGAAAACAATCTGTTGAAAACTAGAATTGGACAAATGGAAACTAATGACTCTATGAGACAGCAAGAATCAGTCAAACAGAAAAAAAAAATTAAAAAATGGATGAAAACATAAAATACCTCATTGGTAAAACAACTGACCTGGAAAATCGATCCAGGAGAGACAATTTAAAAATCACTGGACTACCTGAAAATCATGATGAAAAAAAGAGCCAGGACAGTATCTTTCAGGAAATCATAAAGGAAAACTGCCCGAATCAGAAGGTAAAATAACCATAGAAAGAATACACCGCTTACCACCTGAAAGAGATCCCAAACTGACAATGCCAAGGAATATAATAGCAAAATTCCAAGGTGCTGCAAGCAGCCAGAAAGAAACAATTTAAATATCATGGGACCTTGCAGCTTCTACGTTAAAAGACCACAGGGCTTGGAACATGATATTCTGTAAGGCAAAGGATCTTGGAATGCAGCCAAGGATCAATTACCCAGCAAAAATGAGCATAATTTTTCAAGGAAGGAGATGGATATTCAATGAAATAGGGAACTTCCAAACCTTTCTCATAAAAAGATCAGAGCTCAACAAAAAAAAAAATGATCTTCAAGTATAAGATTCAAGAAAGACATAAAAAGGTAAATGGCACAGAAAGACACAAAATGTTGTTAATAAGGGGGGACTGTTTACATCCCTACAAGGAAAGATGACACTTGCAACTCTTGAGAGCTGTATTGTTATTCCACCATGTTAAAGGAGTATGCATAAAGGGGGTGGATATTAGTTGACTTTGATGTAATTATAAAAAAAAATCTAGTCAAGTGGGTTAAATGGATCCAAATAAGAGGATTAGTCTGATCTTAGAAAATGTACTGAGAAAGGAGGAGGTGGACAAGGGTAAATTACATTACAGGAAAAGACAGAAAATCCTATTACAGCAGAGGGAAAGAAGGGAGGGGGGTGAGCATTGTTTGAACCTTGCTCTCATCAGATTTGGCTCAAGAAGGGAATAACATAATCAGTTAGGTATGGAAATCTAACTTGCCCTATGGGCAGTAAGAGGGAAAAGGGGAAAGAAAAGGGAGAGGGGATGGAAGGGAGGGAAGAAGCTGTGAGGGGATAATGGGAGGAGAGACTGAAGGAAGCAGTGGTCAAAAAGCAAAGTACTGGTGAGGAGGGGGAAGGGAGAGAGGAGAAAGAGAAGCATAAACAGGAGGGAAAAAGGATGGAGAAAAAGACACAGATAGTAATCATAACCGTGAAAGTTGAATCACTATCTTTTTTTTTTCTCTTCTGTTGAGTTTTGTTTCTTCTTTCTCATGGTTCCTCCTATTGGTTTTAATTTTTTACTTACAACTTCACTAATGTGAAAAGATGTTTAATAGGAATGTAAATGTATAGCCTATATCAGATTGTGCACTGTGTTGGGGAAGGTGGTGGGGGAGGAAGGGGGAGAAAAATTTTAAACTCAAAAGCATATGGAAGTGATTGTTGATAGATCAGAATAAATTAATAAAATAAAATTTAAAAAAAGATTTGCAAAGCACTTTGAGAATATTTTATTCTCACAATCATCCTGGGAGGTAGGTGTTATTATCCCTGCTTTTCTGATGAGGAAACTGAGGCAGAGTTAAGTAACTTGCAGGCAACTAGTGTCTGAGACCTGACTCCAGGTCTAGCAAGCTATCCCCTACCTGCCTATTACAGCTGAAATGGACCTCAGAGATCATCTAATCCACCCTCATTATTTCACAGATGAGGAAACTGAGGCAGAGGTTAAATGACTTGCCTAGGATCACACAGCAGTAAGCCACAGAACCAAGAATCTAATCCTGGTCCTCTGATTCCAAATCCAGGAGTTTCCATTGCTCCACAGTGAAACTGAGTCTCTGACTTGAGTCAGATGTGCCTAGCTAGATTCTGTTTGCCCAGAATTTATGTTTGTGAATTATAGTTGGAAGGATACACTTTACAGAAGTGGACACCGGGGTGCAAAGAGGGTCAGTTCAGGAAGCTGCTGAGAGGTCGAGGCACTTTCCATTCCGCTCCTGCCATTTTTCTTCCCAAGGCTCTGGCCCTTGGGCAGTGGAGGGCTTGTCTAGGGCTTCTATGTCAGTTGTCCCTTGGGGACCTCAGTTTCCTGGAAACTGAGTGGGTTAGAGGAGATAATCTTCTTCCAGCATTATCTCACATGATTCCCGTCCAGGCTCCAGCCAGACTGGACTGCTCTCTTGGCCTCCTGAACTCCATCCTGAGCTAGCACTGCTCACGTCTCTCCCCACCTCTGTCAGCGCTTGTGCTCACGTTATTTATATGAAACAATGGACATTCCCTGAATTCCTTCCATCTGTTCTAGCCATCCTTTAAAGCCCAATGCAGATGCTGCCTCCACGTAGCCTCTCTGGAGTGCCCTTTTTGAACATAGCCCTTTGTTCACATCTCTCTAATCCACTTACTGTATGATAGAGTTGTTTGCCATATCCCTCTCCTAGTCTGATCTCCAGGGGGACAGGGACCCTGTTTTATCCCTGGCAGAGCTTAGCAGAGCGCTTAGTGTTTCTTGAATGGAATGGAATCATTATAAGGCCCTTCCAATTCTAACTTAACAAAGACTGCAGAATCCTTAATTGTGGCCCTGGTTTTGTTACTAAGTTCCCTTTCTGGGTCTGTTTCTTCAATTGGACAATTGCTAGGGGGAGATGGGATACATCTTCTCTTGTTCTTTTTAACAAGCTGGATGTCAGTAGCCTCATGTTCTAGGCCTCACTCTTAAACTTTACTTGCTATATGATCCTGGGGCAAGTTTCCTCCTTTCTTAACTCATAGAAAATAAACGTATTACTCTCTGGGGTACTCTCACAAATTGGAGAACCAAGCAGTGGGCTACACCCAGTTGACCATTTCCACCTCTATAAGATGTAGGGTATTGGAGCAGATATTTCTCTCTGATCCCTCCCAGCTCATGTCCTGTGGGCTTCCTGCTGGATGGTTGTGTTGACTGGAGCACTTAGATGGGATGGGGTGGGTAGGGAGGGCCCTGAGCCATTTTCCAGGCAGAAGGTCAGGGCCCAGGCTCCCACACAGCTGTTCAATGATTCTTGGAGCATGGAGGGCTCTTTGTTCTGCCTCGGTTGTTTATTTTCGAGAGGGCTGAAGCAGGAGGACCAAAGGATTTCTCACAGGAGGAGAAACAATCTAATCCTTTCTGAAGACTCAACCAGGGAGGGTGGCGAGATGTGGGTGGCAGCTAAAGGGGCGGGCTTCAGCACATGCCTCCATGGAATGCTTTACTGGCCTAATAAAAGTTCCAGAGTTGACCCCTCTAACTCTAAAGTTAAAGCATAACTTGGTAATAGGAGGCTCACCCTCTGGAAAATATTACTACCCCTAGAGACAGACCAGTCCCACCGCCTCTCTCTCCTAATAAAACTCTTTGGCTCAGCTTCTGGTTCCAGGACTGCTTACCAAGAAGGAATCCTATTACCACTAAGATATCATGGAATTGATTCCTTCTGACCTGAACCAGATCAAGTCCAGAAGACTTTTAACTGCTACTTGGAGGCTATGGAAAGGAAAGCAATGAAAAAAAAACCCAACAGACAAAAGACCACAACTTGGCAGTTTTGCAACATTTCCCTTCCATTATGGGAGGGCATGGAAAGTAAATTTATAGACTTTTTTTCCTCCCCAGAAACCATTAATGAACAACAACCAAAACAATGAAATCTCACAGACATGCAAGGAGTCAACAGACAATAAGCGAAATCCCAGTTTTAAGGGAGTCTGGCTAGTTTTCAGTCACAGGGGAAATTGTTACTAGAGGATTTGAATTTTACAGGACCTCAAATTCAGTCCCTTTCTCTTTATGCAGCTGGCTGCCTTTTTTCCACTTTACAGAGCATCGGGTGAATGTTCCAATTTCCTCACTTAAGGATCCTACTGCTGGAGACCTTACAACATGGACAAACAAGTATGTCCCCCTTGCCTTTTTTGGATGGGATGATGAAAACCAATTAGGCAGACACAAAACAGAAAAGAATGCCCCAGTAGAGAAGGAAAGCTTTCAGAGACCATCTCTTTTCTGGGGGTTGCCCAACTCCTATGCCATTTGCCCAAAACCAGAGCAGCTGATGAGCAAGTTTGAGAGAGGTTAAACTGATTTTCCACTGACCACATTAACAAGAGAAGGTAAGCTCAATTTTTCCCCATGGTCCCGTATGGCCCAAGATGATGCAGCAATTTTAAACATCAGTGAGACAGACTATCAAAAAAAGATTCAAATTTAGACTATAGGGTAATTATCGCCAGACTAGCAGTTAACTTGACTTGTTAAAGTGAGGAGCCATCCTGCTATGAGAGGGATTCTCTATTAACCTTTGAAGAGAATGCATTGCAAGCTTCCTAGTAGAGTTTCTCCAGCTCAACCTTCTATGCCAATGTACCCAACGTGATAGCTGGTACCCAGCTTTTTTTTTTCCCTTTCCCACAAATGTGTCCCTCATAGTGGTATGTCTTCAATTAACATACCCCAGCCCACGTAGGCAAATGGAAGTCAGGCTTCCAATAGAAATGCTAGCATTTGTCTCCTCTCTCTTCCTGTATCCAAGAACATAGCCAAATGCTTTGATGCAAAGATTGTGTTTGTTTTCTAACAGAGCACCCTGGAATTCATGTAAACGAAGCATCCCTGATGGGGATGAAACAGGAGCCAGCTGCCTCTTTCCTCAGAACTCCAATGGAAGCACTATGGGATTGGGAGGGGCCCCATGGATCTCCTTCCTTTCCTTATCAGCACACCTCTGCTCCTGGCTACCAGATGGTTATTTCAGGCCCATACAGAAAAGTGGAGTTTCAGAAATCTCATGGGAACAATTTACCCAAGAACCCCAAGGGATTGAGATAAGTATCTGAACTTACTGCCTCTGTGGTCCCTTTGAAGTTTATCCATCACTAATAAACCTTTCAGAAAACCAGGGTTGGATCCAACTGAGCGGCTTTCTTTGGAAACCCTTTTGGACACCAGTTATTTTTTGCACAGGGCAACTAGCCCACTGGGCCAGAAGGATCAAGCATTTGGAAAATTGGATGAGGATGAAGCTGGGGCAGGAATGTTTCTATAATGCCTTTTTTTGACCTGGTCATTGTACAAAGGCAGACAGGAGGCATATCACCAAGCCCCATCGGACTTAGCACATCAGAGATTTAGAAATAAAACAGGTAGTTCCTACATTGACAGGGACCCCAATATGCCCATTGCAAGCCAATTTCCAAACCAGAGACTCGGGTTACCTTATAAAGGAAATAGGCAGTGAGTTAGAATCCCAGCTGATGCAATTTGCAGTTTGGAAAAGGGGTTGTCAGAAGCATTTTTTGAAGACAAGGCTGGAGATTATCACCGACAGGAGGTTCCACCTCATTTCCCCCCAGGCGTTCCCTAGCTGTCTCTGCTGGGGACATGAGCTTATCTTTCTCCCTTTTGCATAGGCCTTCAATCATCAGTGAATTACTGAACCGATGGGGAGGGATAACATGCCTGAAAGCACTGCCAGGCAGCCAAGTGTAAACTCAGGCATTCTCCAAGGTGCAGGGAAAGCTAAACCAGGCAGGATTCTGGTCATAGTCTACACGTGGAGATGAATATCAGGGCAAGACTGTTTTCAGGCAAGGGAGCGAGGAGGGACCTCTATGAGTCACAAGTGGCATTTTGGAACCTCCCTTCCATTGTCTTGCCACCCAAAGGATAAGCTAAGTTGCTTCTCCAGGCCTCCTGAGAAACATCCCGAGGAGGAGGAGGAGGAGGGAGTGAGAGGCTCAGAGATGTCGTCTTGATGGAATAAGGCATAAGGAAAAAAAAAACTGGAAGAGAAGCTGCTGAAAAAAAAAGGAAATCTGGAGTCAGGGACCATCTAGAGCAGCCTCCTTACAGACCATTTCTGGCTTGAGCACGTATGACAAGGGACATTACCTTTCCTAAACCTGGAACAGGCCAACAGAGTACAAGGACAGACATGAGATTTGGAGAGGTAAGCTCCAACAGGGGATTGGAGTGTGTGTGTGTGTGTGTGTGTGTGTGTGTGTGTGTGTGTGTGCGTGCACTGGAGGAGGTGTTTTCTTTAAAAAAATATCAACAGCAATTTTAAGAATCATTCACAACCAGTCAGAAGGACCACAGAGCTTTGGCTGTTCCAACAGAGTCCTTAATGCCGATGGTCAGCGCATCAGTTCAACCAAATGGCCCCTTCATGCTTTTCACTGGTGGATACTGCTGCTCCATGGGCATGGCACTGAAGCAATCTGAAGGGTTACAGTGGCCGGCCTTTCCAGGCTGTCCTGTAGGGCCCGGGGGGCCAGGGATGCCAGGAATCCCCTGCTGACCCATGGGCCCAGTCGGGCCCAGCTTTCCATACCCTGGGGGTCCTTGGGGACCTAGAGTGGGAAGATGAAGAAGAGATTAGGAAACTCCTCCCTTCTCACCCAATACAAGTGCTTCTCCTGCCATATTCCTTGGAGAGAAATTGTGCTCGAGAGCAATGAGCCATGGCCTTGGTGTCAGAAGACGTGGTTCAAACCGTGGCCCTGAGTTTCCTATGCATGAGGTCAGGTAAGTCCCTTCTCCCTGAGCCTCTGCTTCCCCACCTGTAAGATCAGGGTGGTCTCCCTTGCACTATCCACTCCCCTGGGCATTTGGAAGCTTATTCCTACAGAAAAGGAAGCTGCTTTGCTAGCATCACCAACCTCCCCCCTTCCTCTGGACAGTCATGGCACTTTGTACCTTCACCCCCACCTTTCTATATTTATTTATTTCCTCCATTAAGGGCAGAAATTGGCCATTTTTTAATTAAATTGAATTGACTCAATTAGCAAGTGACTAAAGATGAGGTAAAACACAGTTTCATTATCCAAATGAGTCAGATAAATGGCAACCAGTGAGTGGAGGTAGACAGATCGAGGCGTGATTGTGTGTACTTCTACCAAGATGTGATTAAGGAAGCCGTCCGGCAGGAGAGAAGATGGACTCCCAGCTCTTCCAGGGTCATTTCCCATCTTCCATCTCCCCCGTCAGCTGCCACTGACTCTTCTTACCTGGAGGACCAGGGAGACCGGTTTCTCCAGCAATGCCAATGCCAGTGTCTCCTTTTTCACCTTTGGTACCAGGCAAACCTGAAACAAGGGAAATGAAGGTAAGAAGACATACTTGGCCAGGAAAGTGTTACACCAGGCTGGCTGTGGTGGAACGGCCACACACACACACACACACACACACACACACACACACACACACACACACTTTACTCCCATATACTCCTCAGACCCACCCACACACTCTCCATCACGCACATACTCATATGCACTCATACATGTGCTCACAGATTCATGGACAGATATAAAGCATGCACCCAAGAGGCCTCTCTACAGCAATACTGCAGTCAGTGAACTGCAAGGATGGAGCTGTCTAAGGAGATCTGGCACAGCACAGGAAGGGAAAGCATGACCAAATAAAATCTGCAAAACGCTCACAACTTTTGCTAGAGGGTTCAGGCATTGGGGACTAGCCGTGAGTATCTCAGATAACCTATTCAGTGTTGCAGGCAGAGCTACCTCTCATCCCCGGCAAGCCCTGGCGGCCTTCTCTGCCGATCTGTCCTGGGAGCCCAGGGCTGCCTGGAGAGCCTGGACGGCCGGGAGAGCCGTCCTTTCCCGGGGGCCCTGGCCTGCCTGGGGCTGCTGCCATCTCCACAGGGAACTGCATCCTGGATGTGTAGTAAGCCATCCTCTCTGCAAGAAAAGGCAAAGGCTGACGCTGGCAGTCACCACCCACGCTGCCTCATCTGTGGTGGTGAACCCTGTAGGGGAGCGGCAGACGGCTAGGAATGGGGATCAACGCAAACTTCTTTTAAAGAGGGAGCAGGAGAGGGAGCCATTATGGGGGCTGGTTCAGCATTGTTCATTCTCCTCTTCTGGAGAACGAGATGCTCACTAGGCTCCCTCCCAGCTCGGCCAGTCTGTGTTCTGCTCAGTCTAGAGATCTCCTGGACAGCACTTTAGCTTCCTCCTCCAGCTCCCCAGACAGCAGAACGAGGGAAATCAATCAAGGCAGCATTAGGGACTTTCGTTTGGATGCTAAGAATACAAGGGCAGTGACCTCTTAACATTAGGAGAGGCTGTGATGCTTCTCCTCCCTTCCCTGGTGAGGGTCAGGAATAGGAGAGGAGAAGCTGGGGCCTGCTTGCCACACTGGCTATCCTGCTTACAAATCCTCACACTCCTTGCATCTTCAAGCAGCTTTTAGGTGAAAAAGCCCACATCCAGGGAGGCACGAGGCCTGGAGTCAGAAGGACCTAACTTCTGGTCCCTGAGTGAGGCTTTCTGGCTGGGTGACCCTGAACACTTCTTGTGACCTTTCTGAGCCTCTCTGCTCAATGGAAAAATGGGATAACCCTTAGACCATGTGCCTTGTGGAATTACTGGGAGGAGAGCCCTTGGTAGCCCCCCCCCGGCACTGCAGAAATGGGGGTTAGGAATAACAAAGCAGGGTGTTCCTCGTTTGTAATCATACTGCTGGGAGATGTAGTGCACACCAGTCTCTGAAGACCTGGAAGTGAGTGTCAGTCACACTGGGCAATGGAGAAGCAGAGCGTGCATGGTGGGTGTGAACAGGCTGTGACATAGGATAGGGGGCTCTGAAGGAGAGCTGGAGGAGGGAAGAGCCTGACTGAACAAAGAGGCTGGTCCGGTTGCCTGAGGCCTCCAAAGGCAGATCATGGTGGGGGAACCAAGGAAGGCCCCCAGCACATTGGGGGGATCCTGGAGCAAGCAGATGGGAAGATGCGGCTAGGAGTCCTCCAAGATGAGCAGGTGTGGGCTGGCCGTGATCTGCACCCCAGTTAGTGAGATCACACATCCCAAGGAGGAGCTGAACAAGGCCTTCAAACCAGGGGTCCCCCCAAATCTAGGCCACAGCAGGGTGACCTGGGGAAAGGTGAAAGACAGAAGCAATGCCCCCTCCTGCCCCCACCCACCATAAACGACCAATTACCATCAAACATTTTGATGATCTCCTGTCTGATGAATCTCTTGATTTCATCATAATTCACCGAGTCTGCCTGTAAGAGAGAGCTCACTTCAGGTCTCTTTCTAAATAGAATGTCTTTCATCTGAGTAGCTGTTTTCCAGAGAAGAGTGACATTTCTTTGGGGGCACCGATTCCTCACCTTGCTGAGAGCTTCTGAATCTTCTTTCTCTCAACAAAGTCCAGGAGCACTCTCAAGGTGCTTCTCTGCCATACCCCCCATCTTTCTGAGTGACCCCGTCCTCCACGTGTCTGCCCTACTTCCTCCTTACCATTGTTCCTGGCAGTCCTGGCATCCCTGGGGACCCTGCAGGCCCTGGAGAACCTGGGTGGCCTCTCTCACCAGAAGGCCCTGGTGGCCCAATAGGGCCCATGGAGCCGCTCTTGCCAGGTCCTCCCGGCATGCCGGCTCTCCCCTTCTCTCCAGGCTCTCCCTTCTGTCCTGCAGATCCGGGGTCACCCTACAGAGGAGAGGAAGCTATTTGTCAATGCTAAAGTTGAGAAATTCCTGTTTCCCTCCTAAGCCCAGGCCGGTATGTCTCCTCCAAGTGAGACTCAGTTGAGCAGGACCTGACCTGCGGTTTCCCTCAGGTCTTCCTCTCTTGTTTCTTGGTCCTCCTCTGGCCCCTCTGTGGCTGCCAGTAATGGCAACAAACCATGCTCAAACCTGTCTGCCCGGTGTCCCATAGCCAGGGGTTCAGACACCTCAGCTCTCCTTATCCATAGGGATTGCCCCTCCCCTCAGAACAGAGGCCAGAAGGGGTTTGACCTTCTTACCTTCGGGCCAACAAGGCCATAAGGTCCTGGTTTTCCAGGAGGTCCCTGGAAGAAAGCAAAAGTCAGGGGTCTATATCACAGGAGACAAAAGAAGTCATTGTGGGAAGAGTATCACAGGGATGCAGGGAAGCCTCTGAACGGCCTGAGGCCATTGCAGACTACATTCTAGGTCAGCTCACAGGGTGAAGGCCTTGATGAAAGAACGAAAGCTGAGTCTGGACTCCAAGAAATGGCAGCAGAGCAAGAGCTGTGGTTCGAGTATATTGGCAGGGTGCTGGTGGCATGTGGCACATGGCACAGAAGAGAAGCTGAGCAAAAAAAGGCCAGAGGAGGAAAGAGGGGAAGAGAGAGAGGCATGCACGTCAGCCAGGGGAAGCAAGGAGGAACCTTCATCACACAGTACCTCTTTGCCAGTCGCTCCATCGGCGCCAGGCTCACCCTAAGCATGACAAGAGCAAACAGAAGGAGTCAGGAGCCCTGGTGTGGAACGGCTCTGCATGCTTCCTAAGGCTGGGGCGCAGACCCTATCACAAGATGGGCTTTTGGCCCACGCAGGATGGCTCAATTAAGTCAAAAACCCTGAGTTCTACTGAGGCAGGGCTGAGGCCCAAGGCTGCACCCTCAAAGGAAAGAATGAGCTCCTGGCTTTGGTTCTCTGCTCACTTTGTCATCAGTGATTGAGGGTAAATCACATTAATCGTTATAATAAATAATCCCACATCATTTTTCTCCCAGAGACAGAGCATGGCAGAAGGGTATCTGAGTCAGGAAGACCTGGGTCCAAATCCTGTCTCTGACACCTGCTGGCCGTATGACCCTGGGGAGGTCATTTAACTTCTCATCGTCCAGGGCAGTTCTCTAAGGCTATACATGAGCTGCAGAAGTGACCACCTTGCAGCAGTCAAAGGTATTTCCTCCTAGAGAGTTCAGCGCAACCATGGGTCCAGACAAATAATAACCACCACCACAACTCAGATTTCTACAGCTTTCCTTAGGGATAGGGATGGAGACTGGATCTGAGATTTCATCCATACAGGGCCCTCCTTTTCAGATGAGGAAATGCCTGCTACCAAAGGTGGCCGATGCTTCCTATGAAATGTCCAGGCTTAGAGAATTGCCTAGCTTGCTTAGTAGTTAAGTGACTTGCCCAGGGCCATGCAGTCAGTGTGTGTCAGGGGTGGGCCTGAACTCAGCTAACTTTCCTTCCTGCCTGCCTTACGGGCCAGCTCTCTATCCCATCTGCTCTGGCCACCTCTAGGGTTTACTTTCCCATGTATGATTATTAGGATCATAGCATCATGGATACAGAGTTGGAGGGGATTCTAGAAATGATCAAATTCAGCCTCCTCATTTCGGGAGAGGAGGGGAAGTCCTAACTTTATTCTTTCAAAGCAAGTACCCAAATAATTCTTTTTAACATGTTTTAGTATTTGTTTTTGTTGCTGTCTGTTTTTACCTCACCTTCCTTTCTGACTATATACCTCTACCCTTCCCAGGGAGTTGTCCTTTGTAGCAAAGAATAAAGAGCCCAACTAACCAAGCGTGAACAGAATCTGACAAGGACAGACCATCCATTTTTATGGACAGAGAAACCAAGGCCCAGGGAGGTCTAAAGAATCCTAGGCTAATAAATTTAGAGCTGGAAGGGTCATCTCCTCCACCCCCTCCAATTTTACAGATGAGGAAACTGAGGCCCACCCAGGTGAAGTGATTTGCCTAGGGACACAGAGCTAGTATGCCAGGATTCAAATTCACATTCTGTGACTCTAAATTCAGAGCTCTCTCCACTGCCTCCCTAATAATGGATTGCATTTATCTATCCCTTTCTTCACAACAAGCCTTTGTGCTAGATTATGCGTGTATTATTGTCCCTATTTACAGATGAAAAACTGAGGCTTAGGGGAAGTAACTTACCCAGAGTTATACAGCTTTTAAGTACTAGAGCCAGGACCTGAACCCAGCTCTCCTGACTTCCAGGCCCGTATTCTTACCACAACTTATTATATCTGCGTATGATGCAAAGCTGCGAGGGACAGTGAAAGTGGTTTATCTACAGCAGGGTCTGACCAGGTCAGCTTCCTACTTGACGGACTCTGGTGGACCCTATGGCCCCTGAGCTCAAATGTCCACTCCTCCATTTGTCATTGAAAGCTCTTGCCCCTTTCCTCTCTACCCAGTCTTCTCCCATATTACTCCCCCCTGCTCCTTCTCCGACCCAGTCCCTCGGTGTTCTTCAGGTATGAAGCCCCCATCCGTCTTCTCTGCTGCCTTTCCCCTGTGCCTGGAGCACCCTCTCTCTCCTCCCCTCTGCTTCTCAGGTTCCCTGGCTTCCTTCAAGGCTCAGCTCAGCTCAAACATCACTCTGCAGGAGGGCCTTCCTGGCCCCTCTCAGTGCTAAGCCTTCCCCCTTCAGATTGCTATACATCTCTACATGGATCGTGGACGTCACTACTCATCTACACCTCTCCCCAGAGAGGATATAAACTCCTTGATAGCAGAGACTGTGAAATTTTTGTCTTTGTATTCTCAACACCGACTATGACCATTGGCACCATAGGAAGCTCTTGTTAAATATTCATCGATTGTTCCAAACAAGGGGGAATATCGTCCTCTGCCCTGGTTAGACCTCAGCTGAATAACAGTGTTTGGTTCTAGGTGCCCATTTTAGGACAATGACAAGTATGTTCAGAGGAGGGTGACAGAGGGCGTGGCGAAGGGACTAGCAATCTTGCCACACAAAGACCGATTAGTGGGAATGGGGAGTGGGAATAGTCTGGAGAAGACTTCAGGGAACTGATTGGCTTACAAATATCTCAGGAGGGGTTATCTGGAAGTTATTTGTTCTGTTTGGCTCCAGAAAGCCAAAAATGGGAGCAAGGGAGAAAGATTTTAGGGAGACAGCTTCCAGCTTAATCTAAAAAAAAATTCCTAACCATTACAGCTTTTAAAAAATGAAGTTGGCTGTCTTAGGAGACAGGACATTATACCATACAGGATGATTTTAAACACAGTTTGGATGACCACCTGTTTAGGGAGGGGATTACTGCTCAGTTTGTGAGTCAATGATTCATTTGCCAAGGCAGGCCCCCCCCTCCATGGTTATACCCAAGGCCATCTTCCTGGCAGCTCCCCATACCCATTGTTGTGGTCTTAGTGGGATGTGGGATTGCATGACCTGTGGGGCCCTTCACTGACAGCGGTGGCTGTTGGGCCTGCAGGGGAATGAGAGGGAGCAGCAGTCCCATGCCCTGCCTAGTCCCTGCCTAGCCCCTGCCCCTGTGGGAAGATCTTTCAAACTCCATGCCTTTTTACTGGCTACTCCCCATGCCTGGAATGGTCTCCCTCTCTCACCTCAGCCTCCTGCCCTCCTTCAAGACTCAGTTCAAATCCTGCCTTCTGCGAGTGTCCTTTCCTGATCCCTCCACCCCCACCAATTGTGAGAGCCTTCCTTCCGAAATTACCTCCTATTTACAACATATATATCTTGTATGTACAGTCATTTACATGTCTCCATTAGCATGTGAGCTCCTTGAGAGCAGGGACTGGGTTTTATGCCTATCTCTGTATTCCCACCACTTAGCACAGTGCCAGGCACAAAGTAGACCTTTAATAAATGTTTGGTGGCTCCTTCATACACTGTGTCCAGCACAGGGCCCACTGTTTTCTGGGGTGCTGGGTCCTAGCTGCCTAATTCTAAAGGTTCATAGAACCACCACTGTCTTTCTGAAGGCTAAGGGCACTGACTGAAAGCACCAAGTGAGCCCAGTGGCCTTGAGGCCAGGAAAAAATTCTTATGATGTAGCCCAGGGAGCTGCTGTGATACCCCATGTGTAGTGTCGGGTCACGGTTTGCTGTATCCTTAGAGGTTTTCCAGTTGGAAACAGCTGAACACATCAAGTGAATGTTCTCTTCCTTAGAATGGGAGCTCTCCAAGAACGAAGGAAAGATGCCTTCCCTGTCCTAAGTGACCAGCTGGCCCAGACCAGGACTGGGGTGCATGGGGCCTGGTAAAGCTCAGTGACGAACATGGGCTGGCTTTATGTATCAGCGGTAGCTCCAGTTTCTTCCAGGTTTTACAGTTTGTGAGGCCTTTTCTATAAGGCAGGGAGCACAAAACTTGGAAACTGAGGCTCAGAGAAATGACTTGTGCGCTCTCACATGGCTAGGATACGCTGGCCCTGGGCTCTGCACCCAGGTGGAGCGGTTTTACTGCCCCCCCCACCTCCACTCTGCCTCTAACTTTGTATTTTTGCTTTTCTATGATGTATGTAGAGGCAACCAATTACCAGGCACAAGTCCTATCTGCCCACGAGACCTCAAGATCCCTGACAGCAAGGGCCCTGTCCGTCTTCCCTTGTTCTTGCAATAGCTGTTGGCAGGACTCCGTGTGAAATGTTCTGGGTATTGACTGAGAGATGGGCCAGATCCTTCCCTCCAAGCCATCACGTGGCCCTTCCCCAGCCAGGTACTTACTGTGGGTCCAGGGTGCCCAGGTGCGCCAGGTTCACCTGGAAGACCGGCAAGACCCCTTTCTCCTGGGGCTCCCCGATCTCCTTTTAGTCCCTGGTGGCAGAAGAAAGAAGGGAGGAAGGAGGAGAAGAAGGGAGAAAGAAGGCCCATCAATAGTTTAGGCCAGCTACAAGACCTCCCTCCACTCCTCCCACTTGGTATCTACTCTACAGTGAGATGGTGCAGGGCTCCACATCCCTCTTCTTCATTTTCTCTCAGTGTATGTATGTATGTATGTATGTATGTATGTATGTATGTATGTAGGAGAGAGAAAGAGAGAGGGAGAGAGAGAAAGAGAGAGAGAGAGAAAGAGGGAGAGAGAGAGAGAGAGAGAGAGAGAGAGAGAGAGAGAGAGAGTGTGTGTGTGTGTGTGTGTGTGTGTATGTGTGTTGGGGAGCAAAGGTGTAGTAGAGGCTGACACCAGATGGTATGGAATGGGGACAAAAGATTTTTTTCTTCCCTCCATTCACAGCTGAGCTAGGCAGGCCTACTGGGAGGGAAAATGAACAACAGTAATTGGTACTTACGATTCCACTGATCCCAGAAGGCCCAGGCTGGCCGGGAGATCCAGGGGGACCCTAGGACAAGAAAAAGAAAGAATGAAAGGATGGAAAAGACCAGCTGGGAAGGCTCACGGGAACTCTGAATGGCCCAACAGTGGAGAGGAGGACACTGACAATAATGAAAATGATACCTAATATACCTAAAGCTTTAAAAAAATCTTCCTTCCCATTCCTTGTAGTCTGAGACTTTATCCTCACTGTCTTCTGGGGAAGCATGCTGGGTCAGAATTGGGCTTGGGCACTCCCCTAGGCCACTCTGCTGCCATCTCACAGAATCCTGGAAGTTCACTCCAGTCCTGAATGACTTCCCACACTGGAAGTGTCTTCAGCCCCCATGGCCTCTCCCTCTGATTAGCTGGCTCCTCCCAGAAGGTCCTTTGGCCACCCAGGCTAACCAACTGTGCTTTCACCCTGTTCCAGACTCACGTCCACAGGACCTTCACACTGACCCCTTTTATGTGTTGCCTCTCTCAATCAGTTGGAGTTCCTTAATGCCAGGACTGTCTGTCTATCTGTGTCTGGCACAGATATATATACCTGCTCAATAAATGCTTTCTGATTTGACTCAACAGGAAGTCTGTAGAGATTGGTGGAGGGACTCGGTCATACCCTATGGGGCCTTGACCAGTGAGTTTGAATTATGCAGTTCAGTTATGAGAGAGCCACGCCCCTGAGAAGGAGTTTTGGGGGAATAAGAGGGGCCTTTACCTCAGCCTCAGTCTTCTGCTATTCTTTCCATCCCGTGGCTCGAGGATTTGGACTTTTTGGAATTTTTATTGCTGTCCAACTGTATATTTTTGTTTCATCTCTCATACTCAGCTGTGAGCTTCCGGAGAGCCAGAACTAAATGTTATTCACCCATGTGTTCCCCACCCATTTCACACAGAAAAATAGCAGCAGTCAGTAAATGCTTTTGAATTGAACCTAGAGCACGCACTGTGACCTCATCCACACTGACACAAACTTCCTGAGTGCCTATCTTGTGGGTACCACTATCAAAGTGTCCCTTCCCTTCTCTGCCACTGGGCCTGGAAGATAATGAGTCGCTTGTCTAGCTCTGGGGAGGATGAGGAAGAGATGAAGCTCTTTTAATGACCACTGACTATCTCAGACCATCAGACCTGGGGGCCCTGGCACAACTGTGCATTTTGCCACCATCTTACTCTGTTTCTGCTCCAGGGTACTGACTCTCTCCCCTCCTCAAAGCTAGGGCTTCTCTCTAATAGGAGTAGCATTCAAATTTCAACTTACTGCATGGCCAGGTGGGCCAGGTCTTCCCTGGGGTCCCATGGGGCCAGGCTCACCCTAGAGAATATGAGAAAAAGAAGAAACAGAAAAGTTAATTTTCACCTACAGCCTCTACAGCAAGGTGATGTGCGCAGGAGACCAGAAAAATTCTGAGTACAACTTCTAGAGGCAAGACTTCCAGAAACCAGTGATAGACCAGATGATATCACAAAAGAGGAGAAAGGCCAAACAGTTCTTTAAAGCACATTGGCCATCTCTATGCAGCTAGATAAGCATATATGACCATATCACAGCAACATATTACTGTCTTCCCCCATGGAAAAGAGTAATAATGATAGATTAATACCCTAGACTTGGGTACGCATTCTAATGGCCCCAGGGAATCTCCTCCCATCCTGCCCCTATTCCAGTGAGACAGAAGGAGCCGAGGGTGTTCTAGAGAGCCACAGATCACAAGCTGCCCCTCAGGGGAGATCTCAAATCAGAGGATTTTAGAAGTAGAAGAGACTTTAGGGATTATGGATCAAATCTCCTCATTTTACAGATGAGAAACTAAGGCCCAGAGAATGAAAGGGACTTTGCCAAGATCTGAGAGAGAATTGGTTGTGGAGTCAGAAGCCCAACTCATGACTTCTGACCCTCCCCAGTGCTGATATACACATGGGGAGCAGAGAGTAAGAGAGTCTTGCCCCGATGCCTATGGATGGAAGACACAGACTCAGGAAGCTGCTGAGCCTCAGACAGCAGCAGAGCCCCGAGGCCCCTGGAAGCCTGGAAGCAGCAAAGGCCTCCAGGTCTGGGTAACTGCCACCATGGATGGTTCAACATAGTCTGGCCTCCTGAGAATGTCAGCATTCAACAAGTTACCCACACAGAGCCAGGCCTCACCTCAGCTCCTGGCCGTCCGCTGCTGCCAGGAGGGCCTGGTTTACCACAGTCACCCTGGAGGAGAAAAGAGCAGCTGAGGCCCCAGGCCTGTTTGCCACGGGCTCCCCTCAGAAGCCACCCATCGCTGGCAATGGTCAGCCCCCCCAAAGCTCAACAGCCACCTGCTACACTCCAGAAGGGGACTCCTGTAGGCTCAGACCAGTGAGGGAAACAGCCGGGGGAGGGCCAAGCCTTAAAGCTGCACTTGGTGGGGAGGAGAGGGGCACAGAGGCCTCCTAGAATGCCTAAAGTGTGACAATGGGCCTCATTGGGGTGGCTGGCACCTCTACTACCCAGGGTCAGGTCACCATCCCCGGACAGTGTTGGGTTTCCAGGGAGAGCAAAAAGGGCCCCAACAGGAAAAGAGACCCCACTACCCACCTTGGGCCCAGGGAGGCCTGGATGTCCTGTTTTTCCCTTGAAGCCCTGGAAGAGAGAGACAGAGGTCATTCTCCGATAAGATGAAGACCCCTTTAGGTCTGCTCTTTCATCAAAATCCAAACTCCAGAATCGTGTCTTGTGGCTCTGAATGCAACAGGCACACAGCAGTGGAAAAGCCCGAGCCCTAAGAATGGGCTCCAGTCTTGGGAAGTCTTTGGAGAGAGGTGCTCAAGCCTATCCATGAGCCTCCTTCTGCAGGGGTCGGCTCATTCTATCTAAGCGGCCTGATTTGACCTTAGAGTTCAACCTACCGGGATTCCCATGAGTCCTGGGGGTCCAGGAGGGCCAGGGTCCCCCTACAGAAAGAGAACAAGAACATCAGGACAAAGGGCTGGTCCAGTTACCCCTCAGCCATGTTCACTGGGCCAAAGTCACCCTCGCCCCATACTCCCGGATAAAGGGAAATGGGCGGTTGGATGAGAGATTCATGGGGAGTGGCTTGAGCCTAGACTAGGAATCGAAGGTCTGGCTTTGCCACCCCCACACTCTGGCCCCGTCTCTTCTCCTGGCAGGGCCCCAGTTTCCCCACATATAAAAGAGGCCCCTTGCAGTTTAATGGTCTAGGATTCCATCCCACTTCCCCCATCTCTGATGGAAGCCCAGTAAAATGAGACATAAGGAGATGGGGCTTGTTCCAGGCCTTTGAAGCCCATGGCTGAGCTCATCCAGCCACACTGGATGAAACAAAGTTTCTTTGGGAACTTGGGCAGGAGTTCATTTTGCTTCTTGTCCTGGTTTCTGTGAGTACCAACAAGTCTCAGAACAACAGAACCTTCCAGGTGCCTAAGAACATCTGAATTTCTCACCAGGGAAAGAGACAGGGGCTCTGAAACCTATGTCTTTGACAAAGACAGGGGATTCTCAACTTGACTGAACCCCAAGATCTGGGGGGTTCTAAGGCTTTCTTTATGAAGGCTGGAATGGGGGAGGACATCTGATCACAAAACCTCCCCTTCTACCTTGATCCCACTGTCTTACCCTCAAACCAGGCTTCCCATCCTTCCCATCTAGCCCCTCAAGGCCGGCAGGACCCTGAAAAGTAGAGAGAAGTGAAATGTTCCACGTGCCTAGAACAGTGAATGGATTAGGGCCACAGGGAATGAAGCTTACCTGGCCCCTCTGTTCCCTTCCCCCATGTATCCTGGGGCAAGTAAGGCCCTTACCTGTATGCCAGGGGGTCCGGGAGGTCCTGGAGGGCCCGGCATGCCTGATGGTCCTCGAATTCCTTCACTTCCCTGCAAAACCACCCCAGAGTCAATAGAGCCTGCTTACTCTTGGCGGGGGGGAAGGAGTGGGGAGGGGCTGGCTCAGGAGCAGTGTGTGTGGTCTCTGACTACTAGAAACTGGGGTTCTAGTTCTAGGTCAGGGGTGGGGAACCTGTGGCCCTCTAGGTCCTCAAGTGCAGCCCTATTCAATCAAAGGGCTGCACTTGAGGATGCAGAGGGCCACATGTGTTCTCAAGGCCGCAAGTTCCTCATCCCTGTTCTAGATAATGGGTAATAACTACTCACATTTCTATGGTATTTTATAGTTAACAGTCTCATCCCAACACAACCCTACGAGTAAGATATTGTAAATATTATCCCCATTTTACAGACAAAGAAACTAAGGATCAAAGATTTACCTAAATTCACACAGCTAGTGACATACGAGAGCTGGGACTCCAGCTTAGGTTCGCTGATTGCAGATCCGATTCTCCTTCCACTACCCCACCCTGTCTCCTAATGAGTTTTCCCTATGACTTGGACCCCTCCCCCTATCCCCTGCCATCCCCTAGGATGTCCCTCCCTCACCATGCAGCCAAATGGAGTGTGTGCAAACAGCTCCCAAGACCACCTGAGACCTTGGACAAGTCACTTTCCTTCTCTGAGCCTCAATTCATCATCTGTTAAATTAGGGGTGTGGATCAGTGGTAATAATCTTCAAAAGGTCGAGAGAGTAATGAGGAGAACTGATATCCTGAACTTGATTCTGACCAGTTGTGGGGAACTAAACCGTTGTTGAAGTAGAAGTGATAAGAACTAGTTGGGATGAGAGCGATCATCTGGGAACTGAAAAGCAGATTTTAAAGGTTCAAAGAAAGAATCAGTAGCATCTGGAGGCCTAAAAAAGTCTTCAGAAGTTGGCCCAAGAGGCATTGAAAGTTCTCAAGAATGACATTCTGAAGTACAAATGGAAACGACGTGTATGCAAAGGGAATTCATTCGCCAACTCAGACACTTTAAAGATGATTGAAAATGGAAGCCCACGAAGTAACTGATCCCATCAAGTATTACAGTCCTGTTGAACTGGTATCCAGAACACCAGCGTCTAGAATGAGCTGAAGCTAGTGATGAATCCTAAGGGCAACAGAATGAACTTTCTCTCTATTTTTTTAAAGCTGTGTTGACAGAATGAGAAAACTCCCAGAGAGGACAGCGTCATTTCTAGGGATGGATGGGACAATAATCATGGCAGAGAGAAGGAAGAACTAATCAACTCTTACTTTGCTACTGTTTTCTCTGTTGACAAAAATGATCATTGTCCTGAGAATAGACCAAACAGCTAGAAGAAAGTTGAGACCTAAGATAAATGAAGAAACGGTAAGACGGCTGCCTTTAATAAGTCTCAGGCCCAGAAAAGGCACTCCCTACAGTACTGAGTCAGCAGGTAGAATTGCTTAATCATGGCTAGTAATCTCTGAAGGATGGCTGACAATGAGAGAGGTGCCACAGGTCTGGAGAGGGGAAAATACTATCCTGATTTTCAAAAAAGGGAGGAGGAATAGAGTTGGAGAATTGGGTGTTGGCTTGACTTGGATTCCTGTCAAAATTCTAGAACTTATTAAAGGGATGGTTCATGAGCATCTGGAAAGGACAGTGGTGACCATCACAGGCCAATATGGCTTCTTGAAGAACAGGTCCTGCCAGCTATGACCCTTGTTTCCTTTTTCTGATGGGATTCCTAGATTGGTGGATAAGGGGAATGCTATACACGCTGTATACCAACATTTCAGCATGGCATTTGGCAGTCTCTCATGATAGTCTTGCCGACAAGGATAAAGGATATGGATTAGATGACTATATACCTAGGTGAGTTGAATGAGTGTGACCAGATCAAAGAGTATCAATTAACAAGCCAATGTCAAATCAGGGGGGAGGCTTCTAACACAGAACCTCAGGGATCTATCCTTGGCCCTATGGTATGAAATATAATTATTAATTAAGATGAAAGAATAGGTGGGGAGCTTATCAACTTGGCCAATAACATAGAGCTAATGTATGGGATAAGAAGAGTCAAGATCCAGAAACAAAATCTCAACAGGCTAGGATAACCCTGGGCCTAATCTAACAAGATGAAATTTGATAAAGGTTAATGTAAAGTCTTATACCTGGATTAAAAAACAATTACCTGGAAAAAAAAAAAGAAAAAACCCCCAATTACCTGCAGAAGTGCAGGATGAGGGAAGATATGGCTAGATAACACTTCATCTGAAAAAGATCTGGGGGTGTTAATGACCTGTCAGTAAAGTGAGGTGGCAGCTGGAACAACTAATGTAACTGCAGGCCGCATTAAGAGAGGCCTGATGCCCAGAAATGGAGGAGGCAACTGTTCTGTTAGACTCTGGCATACCACGTTCAGTTCTGTGTGCCACGATCCAGGAAGAACACCAAGTCACTGAAGTGAGTCCAGAGGAGAGCAGCCAGGAAGAAGAGGGGACTGAAGAGCATGGCACCCATGATCAGCTGAAGGAACCAGGGATGTGGAGCCAGAAGAGCAGGCCTGTGGGACATGGCAGCTGGCTTCCAGTATTGGAGGGACAATCAGGTGGGACAGGGATGAGGCCTCTTCTTAGGCCCAGAGAGCAGGAGTGGGAGCAATAGGAGCAAGGCCCTGGCTTAGGCTCCAGGTCAGGACTGCTTTCCTAACACTGAGTGGTCTACAAGTGGACTGGGCAGGCTCAGCACAGGAGGGCTGCCTCCTCCTGGAGTGGAAGTGGGAAACGGTAGAGAAGAGGTTCTTTGTCAGGTAGGGGCTGGATTCATTGGCCTCTGAGCTCATTTCCAAATCGGAAGGTTTGTGGCGGCATGTTTTCCAAGGTCCCTTCCAGCTCTGACAATCTACAGTCTCTATTTTAAGGTTCTTTCCAGCTCTGAAATTCTGTGTTCTACATTCCAAGGTCCCTTATGTGTCTAGCTAGTGCACTCCCTCTGGGCCTGTACTGTTAGGCACTGCAATGTCTGCACTAGCTGAGAGGGGGCAGTGCAACTTTAGAAATGTCAGTGCTCACTCCCCCAAACCCTGGCCTACTCGGGAGCAGAGAGCAGATGCTTAGGTTTCTCAGCTGAAACTGGCCTGATTACAGGAGGGACCCAGGGAAGCAAAGGGAGCCAGTCACCAGCCCAGATCACTCCCTGTTCTAGACAGGATCTTCTCAACAAGTCTGAATGTGTGTCTCCTCCTCCTTGGCCAGGGCAAGGTCTAAAAAGGGGGGAAGGGAGAAGGAGGGACCCCAGGGCAGAATGTGCTGTTGTAGGAGGAGGAGATGGAACAGTATGGAAGATGGAAAAGCTCTTCTCCTGGGAAGGGGGAGCTGATGAGAGAAAGACAAGGCAGCCAGCTGCTTGACTGCTTTTAAAGCTATATGCTCTGGGTGGGTCAGGCTTCTGTGCTGACAGGCTGGGAGGGACAATTGTGAGAAAGACACAAAAGCAGCCCTTCCCTGTGGTCATTATCAGTTTTAGCCAGTCTCTTGCTTCTCTCTCTCTCTCTCTCTCTCTCTCTTCTCTCTCTCTCTCTCTCTCTCTCTCTCTCTCTCTCTCTCTCCCCCCCTTCCTCCCTCCCTGCCTCTCCCCCTTCTCCTTCCTTATCTCTCTCCTTCCCTCCTTCCCCCCATCTCCAAGTCTCTCCCTCCCTCCCTGCCTCTGTCTACCCTCTCCTCTCAGTCTATTTCTCTTTCTCTCTTCTCTCCTTCTGTTTCTCCCTCCCTCCATTCCTCCCTCCCCTCTCAGTCTGTCTTTCTCTCTCTGCCTCTCTCCACGTCTGTCTCTCTCCCTCTCCCCCTCTCTTCTCTCTGTCTCTGTCTTTCTTCCCACTCCCAAACACCCACCCAGCTCTGCCTCTTTCCCAGCTGGCTTAGGGCCCTGACTCAGGAGCTTCCTCTGGTCACCTTCCTTCTCCCCTTATCACCGTGGCAGGATGACGGCACCAACTCCATCACAGAGCCCCCAACTCTGCATTCCCATGGCTATCCACATGCAGGTCCTTGCTGCTGCCAGCTTGGGCTCCAGCCTGCATTAGCTCCCTAACACATCTTCCCAGCTCCGTTCTCTGCCCATCCAGGCTACCCTCACTACCAATAGTCTTCCTTGCACTCAGGTCTGATCAGTACAATCTTTTGCTCAAAACCATTAAGCAGTTTCCTACCCCCCCCACCCAAGTAAAGGTTCCTTTGCCTGGCATTCAAGGCCCTCCACAATCTGTATCATTCTACCTTCTAGCTTCATCTTGTGTCCCTTTCCAGACCTTCTACTTTCTAGCCAAACTTGCCTATCTTCCTCCCCTGCACTGGTCTGGTGGTTTCTTATTTGTTTTGATCCCACTGGTCTTTATGCCTGGAACGCCCTATTTCCCTGCTCTCACATGGTGGACTCCTTCCTACCCATCACGTAAAGCCCAACTGGGATGCCTCTTCCTCCAGTAAGTCCTTTGTGATCTCAGGAGTCCGTAACGACCTTCTGCCATAGACCTCATCTAACCCTAAATTCGTGTTTTGCTCCTCTTGAATGCACTGATGAAATTCTGCGTGCCAGAAGTCAGCATGGTATTTTGGCAGGACGTTGGAGTTGGGAAAGAATCATATTCTTATCCTGACTCAGGCACTTACTATTGTGTGACCCAGAGCAAATCATTTCACCTTTCTAATCCTCGGTTTGCCTTCTCTCTCAAATGGGGATAATAATACTTGTGCCCTACCTATCTCACAGAAGCACGTTGTTAACCCTGAAGCGCTGCATAAATGTGGGTTGGTACTGATGTGTCATGCCTCTGGTAAGCTCTGGGAGGGCAGAAGTCTGTCAAAGCTGCCTAGCTCCCCTAGCACCCTACATGGTGTTCTGTACACAGGAGGTGTTTAATCAATGTTGAGTTGAGCCCTCCTCCCACCCAAAAGGCCGAAGGTCTAGAGATTTAGATTGCGGCTGCCCCCTCCCTCCCCTTAAGGAAAGACCTCACAGAGCAAGCCCATTGATCTCTGGAACCTAAAGGAGAAGCAGGGCTCAGCCTAGTCTCCCTCTTTCTTCCCCCTCCCCCATCTCCTCTCTATTTTCCTCTTTCAGGGCAGAAAGGCAGACCCTGTGCAAAGCCAACTGAAGGGGGCACAGCAGCCAGCTGAGAGGAGGGACTGAACCTCAGGCCAAAGGGACCTCCAGGGGCTTGGCTTCACTTTTCCATCCTACTCCCTTCCCCATGCAGGAGAAGAAGTCTTTTCACTCAGAATGTCTGTCCTTCTACCTCCTAAACTGGAAGCCACACGGAGGTAAGGCCCCTAACCCACCCCCCTCCCCATCTCATCTCTCCTTCTCTGCCCACCCCAGAATCCATCTGTTTCTTCCATTTGCCAGGACCCTTCCCCACTCCTCCTTCCCTCGCTTTCCCTCTCATTCCACGGGGAAGTGTCTTGATATCTGTTTATGCAGCTTGGACTGCCTGATAGAGGAAATAAGCCAGACTCCTGGTGGCTCTGCAGAGAGGCTTAGCTCCTAACTCACCCCCCCTCCTCCAGTTCTTCCTGCTCACCTTCTCAGCTGGGGGGCCAGGTGGACCAGCTGGTCCTGCTTTGCCTGGGAATCCTGGGGGCCCCTATAAGAACAGAGGGGAAAAAAATAAGAACAGAGGGGACCGACTTCAGAGCATGATCTCTCTATGTGGCTTAGCTACTGCTCACCTCTTAGACATTATGCTTCCATCTTCTGGAAGGAGGAAACCCTCTGCCCCAGTCACTAAGTACTTCCCTAGTATCCTCCCCCTGTGTCTACCCCACTCCCTTCCCTTGCCTCTGCCTCAAGCCACCTGCTCTCGTCCTGGTCACCCTTTCAATCAGGACAAATGCCCTTCTGCGATATTGTGCATCTCTCTTTTCCTGATTTTATTCTGGTAGATCCTTTACTTACCGGTGGGCCTGGGAATCCTGGCTGTCCCTGAAATCCCTGCAGACAAAACAAAGGAATGGTAAGTTCTGGAAGGGCAAGGGCTGCCATATGGAAGACGGATTCACTTTGTTCTGCACGGCCCCAGTGGAAAGGATCAGAGCAATGAAGGGCAGGAACATTTCAGCCCAATGTAAATGAAAACTTGCTGATCATCAGAGATGTTCCTAAGTGGAACGGGTTGCTTCTGGGGGCAGTGAGTTCCTCGTAATCAAAACTCTTCCAGTAGAGGCTAATGTCTTCTTGTCAGGGATGTTCTGGGTGGAGGGGGGAGGATTAGTGAGATCTGGGGACCCTCTGGCCATATCCGACATGGTCATCCATTTTGTATTTCTCTAGCATTGCCTTCTGGAAGCAGATAACCCTCTGCCCCAGCCACTAACTATTTCCCCAGTGTCCTATCCCTTTCTCCACTCCCATCCTGCTTCCAACCTAGGGTAGGTGACAATGGAAGCCAACAGGACTCAAAGGGACCCGCCTCCAGAAAAAGGAATCGAGGCTGCCATCACTCATGGGCACCAAACTCGGTGCCATCTCCTCCTTGACCCATCAGAGATAATCAGACTTAAGTCATCTTTATTTGTGTTACCCCCACCTGCCCCACACATGCACATCCTTCACATGATCAAATATAAGGTCCCTGAGGGCGGGGCCTTTTTCTTTTTTTGTCTATATCCCGGTGCTTAGCACAGTGCCAGGCACATAGAAGGTGTTTAATAAATGTTGATTGATTTCTCTTCTCCCCTTCCCCTCCCATAAACACAGACTTGCCCATGTGCATGCATGTGTGTGTGTGTGTGTTGCATGCACACGCGCACACGTACACACACACACTCACATATTCCTTCCCTTCCCACTCACCTGGTCTCCCTTCTCACCAGCACCACCTTGGGCTCCTCTTTCTCCTCGGGGACCCTGTCACCCACAGAAAACAAAGAAAACTGGCGCCTTGCCCTCACCCTCTTCTCTCAGCCCTCAAGCAGTACCCAGCCCTGAGAGGACTGTGTTGATAAGTCAGCATCTCCCCACCAGCCACCCTGAGACCCCTCCCACACTTACTGCAGGGCCCATGGGGCCTGGGAGACCTTCAGCTCCTGGTGGACCCTAGAAACAGAGAGAAAGCCAATCAATAACCTTGAAGATTCAAGAGCAGAGGTGGGGACGTGTTTCTGCAGGATTGAGTGAGTCGTGACTGTGCTGAACTTGAAGGATTGGGGGAGGCGGGGAGGGCACAGTGACTTTGCCTGACCTGACGAAGGGTTAATGGTGACCAGGGACCATGACCCTCTCATGTAGAGGAAGAACTAATGCTGATTCTGTTTGAATGAGGGGGGAAAACATGACCAGAGATCCTGTTTGCCTGAAGGGAGAAACTCAATAACCCAGCAGGGTTGCAGGGTAGGGCTGAGGGGCAGAGAAGCTATTTATAGGCTCTTCAGGCAGGTCCAGAAGAGAAGAGGGGGACAAAACCTAAATGATTGGAAGGAGATGAGACCCAGGAACCATGGCAAAGTTATCTCATTGCAGTGGCACGGTTGAATTCTGTGTGAGCGGGTGGAGGAAGAGGATGCACACACAGTCTTGAAGACCAGAGCGAAGAAGAGACTTCCCTCTGAGGTGGAATTGTAGTATTGATCACTGAATGCCGGAGCTGGACTGGTCCAAGGCCCTTTTGACAGGCAGGGGAACTGGAGGCCCTAAGAGGCCTACATGGAGTAAAGTGCAGATCTGGGCCAGGCTTCTGACTCCAAAGTCAGGGTTGGCTCCCCATGTCTCTTTTACAGACGGGGACACACAGGCTGAGAACAGTAAGGAGGCCAAGGCAGGGCCAGGAGCAGCAGCTCCCAGCCTGGGCCTCTTCATACCAGCCCTTCCTTCTAGCCAGCTCTGCTTGAGGGGGGAGTGGAGGGGAAGAGGAAAGAGGGGAGGAGGCACCACTAATAAAGAGGTGCCTTTGTGGAGCTGCCAGACTTCCGCATTGGGAAGCAGAAGACCTGCATTTCCATCCTGGCCTGGGTAGTAACCTGTGGGACCTGAGCTGTGTGGCTTCATTTCCCTGGGTGAGGGAGCTGATTTCTCACAGGACCTGACAGATATCTAAGGCTGACCCCCTGGTTTTACAGGAGAGGAGAAGGCACTTGGCAGGCAGCCGGACAGGTTGTAAGTGGCAGAATCAGGATGCAAAACCGAGGTTCTCAGAGCCCAGACCAGAAGGCTTTTTCTACCCTATCCTGTTGCTTCCCTCTCAGGTCCCTCTCAGTTCTAGACCCTCCCTCCCACACAGGCTGATCCCTCTATGATACAGCTGGGGAGGCTGAGGGGGTGGCAGGAGGCGGGCAGGGGTGGCGCGATCTCCTCTTCTCAAACTGCCAGAATACTCTTCCAGCGTATTGGGTGTGTTTGTTGGGGGAGGGGATCAACAAATCCCTTAAACAGCTGTAACTCACCGACTCTCCCTTCTCTCCGGCAGGACCCGTGTAGCCACGCTCTCCCTTGATGCCCTTGGCAAACAGGTGGAAAAACCAAAATTAGCCCCATGCTCCATCATAGCTGTCATAGGAGGGATGGAGAAGGCAGCTGGTATGCAGCATGGTACTGAAACAGATGGTACTGAAGAAGGCTGCTGGGGGGGAGCGGGGAAGTGGGGGGCCATCCTCTAGCCCTTAGCACTGGCTCCCCTATCACAAAGTTATCCTGAAATCGCAGGCCTTGCCAGGGGTGTCTTCTGCCTCCTCCTCCTCCCTCACATCCAATCAATTACCAAGTCGCTGTCAAATCCATCTCTGGGATATCTGTTGCATCTGTGTCCTCCTCTCAATTCCCAGGGCCAGCATGGATCCCTGTTGTCTGGCATTCAAGGCCCTTCATGATGCATCTCCCTCAACACGCCCTGAACTTTCCTGCCATGCTGTTCCTAATAATGGAAATGTCCTTTCCCCCTAATGAACTGCTACTCATCCTTTTAAAACCCAATTCAAGTGCCCACCACTTTACTCTACAAACTGTCAGTAATGATCTTTCCCCTCGGGCCTCACAGGACATTATGAATGCATTCTATCTAATGCCCTTATTACTGTTGATTAGCTCCAGGAGGGGAGGGATTGTGTCTTATCTAAACTTTGCAATTCTCCCAGCACAGAAGCATCCCTGCACTGTGTAGGATAAGTGTATGTTAGCTGAATGAACATATATATATATACACACACACACACACACACACACACACACACACACACACACACATACACACAATGTCGAATGCCCGCCCAGACTGGCAATCCAGTCAGATCACTGCAGTGAGATGAAGAGATGGTTCCAGCAGCACCCAGGATCTCTCGGTGTGGGATCAGCTACCTTCAGAGGGGCTCTCCGGGATGGCAGCTGGACAGAAAACCCCTCTAAGTCACAGCTGCCTTAGTATCAATACAACCATGAAATGCATTCTGCAGGTGGACAGTTGCAGGCAGGAGGGGAGGAGGGAGACCAGTTGGAAGTGAGGATAGAGAGGAAGAAGGGAGCATTTGAGGCAATCACCTAATTCAGGACAGGGACCTCCAAAGGCTTCTCTGATGCCCACCCTGTCCATGGCACTTGGCCTAGCACAAGCCTATTCCCATTCACCACCCCTGCCAGTCTTCTGGGCACCCTGTGCCCATGTGACTCTGAAGTGACTACCCTCTCCAGTTCTTACTCACAGGCAGTCCTGGAGGTCCCATGGCACCCGGGTAGCCTGGCTGTCCTGGTGGGCCCTGCAGAGGGAAGCAGAGATGATGCAGCAACTTCTCCCCAAATCCAGGCTCAGCTCTGAATTTCAGGCTGCCAATGGCAGTGCCAAAACCTAAGGCCTTTGAAGCCTGTTGGCACCAGCTCACCAAACCACTGGCCCAGCTCCCCTACCCCCAGGCCTTGGGCTCACTATTTCTGCCTCCAACCTAGTCCTCCTGGACATACAACTCTGCCCGTCTCTGCCCATGCCCACCCCGGCAGCCTGCCTGGCAGCAGGAGTTCATTAACAGGACTCAGTAGCAAGTTCCAGATTGGCTCTGTCCTTGGGAACTAGGCTGGAGACAGCTCTGGGTGGGTGGAGGAGGAGGTTGGAGGAGAATTCTTGGGTGGAGGAAAAAGACAAGGGCATTAGGAAGGTAGAGCCCCCAAGGTGTGTGGAGAGAAGGTTGTGAGGCCAGGGAATGTGCCCCTTCCAATCTAAAAGCGATGTGGAAAGCACCCCCTGAAGGAGCCAGGGTAGAGGGATGTGGCTGGAAGCCGCCTCCCCTGGCCCCCAGCCCGTGACTGCCCGTTCACCTCTGCTCCTGCCAAGCCCCCCTGGTTCCTGTCAGGAGCCAGCTCGAAGGCCGTTAGTCACTCACACCAGCCTAGGTCCCTCCTCTGTCGTATTCCTTCTTCCCCTGCTGGATCGATCCCTTCTCACCGCCTCCCTGTCCCTTAGTGCCCTCCCTGCTCCCATTCCTCCTTTCCCCTCAGCCTAGCTCACTGGTCTTTGCAGTAGAAGTTGACCCTAATGATGAGTCCCTTGTGTGTCTTTATGGGCTACAGGACAGCCCATTATACTGCCCCTGTACACCCCATGTCATCAAGTGGAAAGGGAGGCTGCCGGAGTTTGGTTCCAGTGGGATTTTGTTTCTTGGAACAGGGGGCCTTTGCCCATGACAGTGGGTCTCTACCCCAGATGAGCTGCATCCTTTGAGCTTGAGGGGACCCCAGAGGTCATCTGACAGAAAAAAATCCCTTCATCCCCAACAAACGGGTCATGCAGCCTCCAACGAAAGGGGAAAGCAGCAGTCCGTTTCCACTTTGAAGGAGCTCATTGGCAGGGAGTCTTTCCTGGCATCAAGCTAAAATTTGCCATGTTGCAACTTTCACCAGTTGCTTTAGTTCTGCCCTTCGGGGCCAAGCAAAACAAGTCTAAGAATTTTGCCACATGGCAGCCCTTTAACTATCTGAAAGCAGCGATTGTGTCCCCCTCTCCCCTTTCTTCTCCAGGCTAAACATACCTGGTTTAAACTGAGGCTCCTGAGGCGGGACTCCCACACCACCCCGGCTCCCTGACTCTGGTTCGTCGGAGACCGTCCTAAAGTGATGTCTCTCCAGCCAGACATTCTGTCTTCCAGATGTGCTCTGACCAAGGCTCTGGACACTGTCTATTAATGCAGCCTGAGGCAGCGCTAGCTGTTTATGGCTGCCACATCAGGAGTGTCTTACACTGACTGTGCATGCCTGCTTTGCCCCATCTCCCATCCGTGCCTGCCTGCCATTGCTGTGGCCTCTGTACCCTTTGAACCAGGCCCCTCTGCACCGGCCCTCTAGAGACCAAGCCCTGGAGCAGAAGTAAGCCAGCCACAGAGAGGGAGGACGGGCTGTCCTGAGAGGGCAGGGAGTGAGCACAAACTCGTATAGGCCCTCGCAGTTAGCCAGTAACCAGGCTTCACCCCTTCACATACCGTCTCCTCCCCTCCCCTCCTTCTCCTCCCCCTTCTATAGGAATAGTAATTGAATCAATTCTGCCATTGCATTAGGAAAGAGTGTGTCAGTCAGCCACTCTATAGCTCCCTTCGCCCTCCCTGGGATTTCTCTGACCATGATACCCCTCCATGGATCTGCTCTTCTGTCAGAATGTAATCTCTTTGAAAGCAGGGACCAGCTCTCTTTTGTATTTGTATCCCCAGCTGCTAGTATGGTGCCTGGTGCATAGGAAGCATTTAATAAATGCTTTTTATTTATTCATTCACTAAGGCTTCCAAGTCTTTTCCCCACAAACCGCTACCTAGTCACATTTTCCCCATCCTGTATTTATGAAGTGGCTGTTGTGACACCCCTCCCCCCCAGTAGAGAACTAGATATTTACTCCTATTAACCCTATCTTATTTGATCTGGCCCATCTGTTTGGTCTGTCAGAACCTTTTTGGTCACCAATGATGTCATCCAATGTGTTAGTTTTGACTCATTCCCCAAGTTGATATACATGCCATGTACCACTATGTTACTGAGTCACGCTGATAAGCCGTCATGGCCAAACATTTCCTTCTCCGTTTTGGCCACCCGCCTGGTGTTCCCAATACCACGCGGGACACGGCGTCCCTCTTAACTTACCGGCTCCCCCTTGTCTCCTGTCAGCCCTGTGAGACCACGTTCTCCCTGGAGACCCTTAGGAAAGAACAGAAACTACTGGGAAGGGGCTCTCCCTCCCTCCCTTCCCCCCCATTCCTCTGCCCGTGGCTCATACTGGTGTGTGCCTGGGCCTAATCCACCCACACCCACATGTTGTTAGGGGGTCCCCTCTGAGATTCGAGCCTGTCTTCCTATTACCACGCCCAGGGTGAGAATCTGGTGAGCTAGGTTTTGTACGGTGTTTTCTGGTCAGGAAGGGGTGACCTAGTTTTACATCCACCTAATGGAAGCTGTTGGGGACTGCAAGAGCAAACATCTGTTGGTTCCTGACACATCTGTCTCCTATGATTATACTCCGCAGGCTGTCAGCCCTGTCTGTGCTCAATATGGGTGGCTCAGGTTCAGACCCTGGGAGATCAGTGATAGTGGGAGAGGTGGGAGAGTCTAGCACAAACAGCACTGGGCTTAGAGTCAGGAGGGCAGGGGCCAGGCCCTTTGTGACTCTGGGCAAGTCTTTTCAACTCCACAGTTCTCCCTCCTCACAGCTACAAAATGGGGAGAAGCACACACTTCCTCCCTCACAGGACTGTTTGTAAACCATGAGGTTATTATAGAAACAGAAACTGTTATCAGTGTTGGGAGTGGAGGAACTGAAGCATAGAAGGTCAGTCCAGTCCCGTTTAACCTGTACAATTCAATCTTAAGGTTGTTGAGCCTATGGATGTCCTCTTCCTTAGTGTCATGCCCTTGGGGATGGGAGGGAAGAGATAATGAAAAGCCAAAATTCGAGGAGCAGGGCCAGGGGCTGAAGACTTACTCTAGGTTGAAACATTAGCTTTGATATGTCCAGAGGTATACTCAACAGGTACCTCTTTCCCATTTCCCAACACCTGACCCCTCCCCCCAAAACAGATATACCCAAGAGAAATCATCATTAGGGGGAATACTTTCCTCCCTAGGAGAGCGACTTTCAAGTATTCTGTCCAAAGGGGTGACAGTCTGCCGGGAGCGGTGAATCTCAACAATTTATACCCAGAGAAATGGAATATAATGGTATGGCCCCCTTAACTGTCTTCAGTGTTCTGCCTTACAGGTTTAAATAATTGGAGAAATATCAATTGTTCATGGGTAGGCAGGGCCAATACAATAAAAATGACTCAAGCAAGATCCCCTCTCCACAAAGAAGTGACTGTTAGAAGTGTTCTCCAGAGGGCTGGTTTTCATCAAAGAGCTCCCCTTAAGGAAGTAACCATCAGTGGTTATATTTCCTCCCTCCAGATGACCAAGTGACCTGAAGCTCATTCCTCCTCCAGCTAAGTGACTGCAAGTGGCACACCTTCCCCGCCCAGATCCCAGATGAGCGAGGGATGGCAGCATACTCCCCATGCCCAGTACTTACCGGTCCCATCCCACCATACCCTGGGCAGAGGAAAGGCAAAGACAGGAGTGCTCCCTTGGGAGCAGCACCTGACGCTTTTCAAGGGGAAGAAGGATGGTGAAATAGATAACAGAAGTTTGGGTTTCTTCCCAAGCTGAACTCTGCCAATGGCATTGTCTTGGATCAATGAAGGCAAAGACTCCATCACTGCTTCTTCTCCCACTCTGCCCTTTCCCTGTGCCCTACCCTCCCTCCCACCTGTGTCCCAAGGTGCCCACAGAGGACGACGACACGACACGGATGAATGGATGGGCGGACAAATAGATGGGCCCTTCACCCAAGCAAGCAGAGAGACACAAGGTGGAAGCAAGGAGACTTCTCACCAGGGACAAAGACAAGAGCAGATGGAACTGCGACAAGGGGGAGGCGCCCCACGCCCAGACTCCCCATCCCAGCTCCCTGTGGCTACCCCTGAGGTAGGCAACGGAGCTGTGTGGAGTCGCACAAGCGCGAGTCAGGTTAGCGTCTGTGACTGACAGGCAGGGAGGGGCTCAAACACACTGGGGCTGATGGAGGCAGAGCAATTAACGACACCTGGCAGGGGTGCCAGGTGGGGGAGGGCATGTCCCGGCAATTTTCCAGAAATCCAAGCCTGATACCATGCCAGAATAAGGGGTGAGGAAGGGGGGGGGAGTGCCAGGTGCAGAGAAGATAGGGAGGCTATCGTATCTACTCAGGATCACGGGAAAGGCTGGTGTCGCTGGGGGCCACCACCCAGCATGACACTGAGTCTGTGCCAACTTGCAACAAGAAACCCGAGAGCTTTGGCATCTCTGCCAGACTCCTGGAAGCCCCCCCCAAGAACCACCTGGGACAAAGACATCCAGACCAAAGGAGGAAGAAAAAGACGATCAGGGAGGGAGAGTGGGTAGAGAAATACGGCTTTCATAGAGTGAGTCAATGGATGGGTCAGAAGGTGAGAATTCAAGGGGATGGATGAGGGAAGCAGGTGAGGTGAGATGAAGAGGAGAGTGAAAAAGAGACGACAGAGCACCCATGTCAAGAAGAAACCACAGAGCTGGAAGCATCCCTGCGAGGCGAGAGAGCCTCCTGATAAGAGAAGGGCACCCGCCGTCGTTAGCTACTGTGCCTGAAGAGGAACAAGAAACACGGGGTGTAGTGGGGTGGGGTGGGGTAAGCCGAGGGGAGGCCAACAAGAACCACAGAGACCTGGGGTGGGGGGTGCGTGCAGCTCTAGGTTCTTACAGGCAATCCGGGGGAGCCGACAGCGCCAGGAAAACCTGGGGGGCCCTGAGGGGAGAAACAGGCGTGTCACATCTCACAGAGCACAGTAACCCGGGGAGTGGCAGGGGAGACAAGGCCCAAGGCTGGGGAGAGCCACGTTCGGGGACGTTCTGGGACGGCTGCACAACAGACGCCCTGAGGCCTCTGGGGCCAAGCAATCACTCCGCAGCCAAGATGAGAGAATTCCGCCCCCCCCCCCCAGTCCCTCCTAAGGTCTCCACTCTGCCCTCCTCGCAGCTGAAGCCTGCTCCCTTTGTCCTACCCATGGTGGACGTCAAGATTAGCTGTCTGTCCCCTGCTGCCCTCTTAAAAGCTGCCTGGCCTTCTCATCCAAGCTAAGGGCCCACTTGGCTTATCAGGCCTCTTCTCCAGCCTTCCTGCCAGGGCCTCAAAGAACGGAAAGGGCCCTGGATTTGGAGACAGATGACCTGGGTTTGAACACTAGCTCTGCCGCTCACTAAAGATGTGACTCTGGGCCTGGGGTTTCACCTCTCCAGGCCTCAGTTTCCTTCTCTTTTGGACTTGATGATCACCAAGGACCCCCCAGCTCTAGCTCCCATGATCCAGAGGAGGAAGGGGACACTTTGGATCACCAAGACAGCCAGCCAAAGGGCCTACGCACTCATTCATTCCTGCAGGGATGGCTGTCACGCAGCAAGGAGTTGGGGGGACGGGCACGCTTCGGAAGGTCCCAATGCTAAGAGGACCCAGCTCCCAGCCCAGCTGGACCCCAGGAAGCAAAACTGACACACAACCTCAGGAAGATGAATGTATCTTCCTGGGGCCATTTTGAGGAAGCCAAAGACAGTGGGACCCGACTTTGGGCTGTCCATTCCCCCATTCTCAGAAGCACCCTTAGCACCTGAAAGTCAGGTGCCCCAAGCAGATGACTGGAGACACTTACAATGGGCCCGGGAAGCCCCGGGGAGCCTCTCATACCAGGCGGACCCTGCAAAAGGAGGCAAACAATAACATTAAAAAGGCAGGGTCAGAAGACTGAGCTCCCACACTATCCGGCTCTCCCAGGGAAAGTAAACAGAGATAGTATGGATGTCAACACAAGATTTTGCTAAGCCCAGTGGACTCTAATGTCATTAAGGACTTGAAAGGAAGATTGGCCAGGGATAATCTGCCTGCCTATAATTGAGCAGTTGACTCTAAGTGGTTTTGATAGTAATAAAGGAAGAACTTGCCTCCCCCATCCCTTGGAGCACTGAAGTTGGGAAACACAGCAGATGGGAAGTCCCCTGATCTGGCTGGGAGGGAAGAATGTTGGACTTGGAGACAGGAGGCCTGGGTTCAAATTCAGATTCTGTGAGTGGCTAGTTGTGTGACCCTGGGCCAAGGTACTTTTTGGGATCTCAGTTTCCTCTTCTAAAAAACTGAAGTGGCTGAGCCTGGATACTCTTGGAGGCTCCTATCAATGTTAATATTCCATGATCTCAAAGTCAAGAACAGCAGCAGCACCAGGTAGACCAGAAGAATCAGGACTCACAAGTCCTGGGTTTGAATCCAGATGCTAACACTTTTGAGCTGTGCAGCAGTGGGCAGGTCACTACCCTCTCTGTTCCTTCTTCTTTTTTTTTTTTTATAAAACATGGATAAGAATACTTGTCCTGCCTATTTTATAACGTTATGAGGGATGGGTTCTGTAACCCTCCATAGGTTATAGGAATTACCGTGGCCATTATGGATTATAATAGTCTCATCATTATCATCATGATTACCTCTTCTCCTCTCTGTCCTGGCAGTCCTGGAGGGCCAGGCTGGCCTGGGCTCCCAGCACATTCTGGGTCCCCCTCTCCATTTCCCTGGGGAGGGAACAGAGACACAGAGAATGGAGGGGCCCTACAGTCACCTGGCGAGCACCCAGGAAGGATATAGAGGAGCTGTGGCCAAGGGGCTCCCCAGGGAAGGGGGAAGTGAAGATTTACTCACTTGGGCCTCCTCGGCTCTGGGGCGATCCCGTTCTAGGAAGCACTGGGGAGGGAAATCTGAGGCATTATTCAGGGGATGAGGGGGCAGATAGCTTTCTAGCCAGACTACCAGTTCAATGCATAGTCTCTTACCCGGGCACAGTTGTCGAGGCCTGGAACCCCAGGGGTGCCCTGGTCACCCTTCTCTCCTTTCAACAGGCTGGCGGTCGGAAGGCCTGTCTGAGCTTGAGCACAATCCCCACAGATGTTCTAGGCAGGGGAGAGGAGAGGAAGGCAATGGGGCCATCAGCAGCTGAGACCATGGGGACACCTTCCCCCATGTCCACACCCAAGTGTCCTCTAAGGCCTGGCACAGCCTCCAGCCCCTGCTCTCCAGGCACTACCCCACCCCAAGGACACGCAGGGACAGACAGAAAGTCAGACACACAGAAGCATGACAGACACACCCACACCCACTGTGCCCAGGCTCTGCTATGGATCCAGGCACCAAATGTTAGCTTCCCTTAGCCCTGAGGGGCTTTAGGCAGGGATGGAGATGTGGGAGTGAGGAAGAAAGGAAGCTCTGTCCACACAGAACCCCAACTCCTTTTGCCAGGAAGGCAAGTGGTCAGTAAGGCTAGGCCTGGGGCTCAGGCCAGAGACCAGGTACCATTGGTCACTTCCTTGCTCCCGTGGAGGTAGATGTTGGATCTGAAAAGCTCCCTCCACAGCCCAGCACCATAAGCCCCAGGAGGGCTGGGAGGGAAGCCCTTTGCCTCCCACCCACAGGGCAATGGCCTAAAGACACCCAAGCCCTTTGGGGGCTCTCCTGCGGGGGCTGCCCATTCTGCTTCACCCAGAGAGCCAGTCATATAACTAAGGTCCCAACTGGCAAAGCCCTCATTGTGAACCCTAAGCGCTCTCCTCTGGTGGTACCTGAGGACCACTGCTCTGCAGCCTCTGTTAAGAAGGACTGCATCGCTTCTCTCTGGCTTCTCTTCCCTAGAGAGGCATCCTTTCATTTAACCTGGCCAGGAGTCTCCATCAGGAAGTCAATAAGATGAATGAAAATTTCACATTTAGCTTTTTAAAAAATGCCTCATTGCATAAATACAGGAAAGGGAGGGGGGCGAGGAGAGGGCTGGGGAGCGATTCACTGGGAGGTGACTTGACCATAAACTTAATATGAGCCAAAGGGTGATGATGGCTCCAAAGCCTAATGAAGCCTCATAAATCACAGAGTGTCTGAGCTGGAAGGGCTCCTAGGACACGGCCTAGGGAAGGCTGGAGCTCCGAGAGAAGGGACCCTCACCCCATCTCTCCTTTCCAACCTCCCAGCCAAGCGGCCATCCAGCCTCTGCCACCTGAGGCTGCCCAGGCCACTTTGGCATTTCTCTGACCATTCAGGAGGACCTTGTTCCTGACACAGAGCCTAGATAGACTTTGTCAATGTCCATTCATTGGAAATTAGGTTGTGTCTAATGGAATTAAGGAGAACTAGTCTAGACCCCCTCTTCCAAATAATAGCCCCTGAGTCTTCTCTCCCCACTAAACATCCCTAGTTCCTTTGATTGATAAACCCATGGTATATTGGTTGAAGCCCCTTACCCTCCTTCACTTGAGAATTTGGAACAGGGAATTTCAGAATGAGAAGGGACAAGAGCATAGAATGTCAGAGATGAGAAGCTATTAGAACAGAGAGCATAGAATTCAGGAGCTGGAAGGGGGCTTAGAGCTCATCTGATCTCACCCCCTCAGCTTAAACCTTGGGCTACATTAATAGTTATCAAATGAATCATCGGTTTATAAATGCTCCAAACTGGAAGAGGCCTCAGGGGGTCATCTAGTCCAGCTTGTACTTGAAGCACGAATCCCCTCAGTGTGATTCTGCCCATGATGTCAACATGTACGTGATGTCTGGGCAGAGTGGTATCTACTCTGCCATCTGTGTATCTCACATACAAGCCCCTGTAGTTTTTGTTAGGGGGTCTTAGGCCACAAACTCCCCCATGGCTCTCCATCTGCATGCCACCATGTTAGGTATCTCCTAAAGAGCTGATCACAGGGAATATGGCGAGCGCCCTGGGACCTCTCTTGCCCTCACATCCTCACTCCTTCCTCCCACTGCATTCAAGCTCTTACCTTCAGAATATGTCTTTCAGCCTCTGCAGATAGGGGTCCCTGAAGGGGAGACACAGACACAGCAGCTCAGGGCCAGGCTGGTGGGGGGGGGTAAGGAGGAGGAGGAGGAGGGAGGGATTGAGAGGAATATTGGAAACAGAAAGTGATTCCCAACTCTCTGAGCCTTCTTCCTGGGCACTTGATCCAGATGGGACTGAGGGAATTAAAAATCAGAGACAGTTCCACATCAAGAGACAGAGAAAGAAAAAGAAACACTCAAAGAGAGAACAGATTGGACAGCTCAGCTCTGGGGTGGGCCAAGAGATGGATACGGAGCAAGGATCATTAGTCTTATACCTACCAAATCTCCGGCTGGCCCAGGCAGTCCTGGCAAACCATTGTGTCCAGGTATTCCCTAAAGCCAAGGATAAAAGTGGGACATTGAGTCCTAGAGTCGAAGTTAGAGGACCTGGGTTGTATCAATTATTAGTTGTGTGACTAATAACCCTGCCTCTTTCAGCCTCAGTTTCCCCATCTGTAAACTGGCAATAATTACCTCCTTTGCAGGTCTTTTGTGAAGAACGCATTTTGTAAATCATAAAGTGCAGTAGAAATGGGAATTGGATGTAATTTAAATAGTACATGTTTCTCGTCCAGTGCCCTGGTTACCCTGCTTCCAGCTCCCTTTCTCCTTCCTTCCTCTCTTTCCTTCCCTCCTTCTTTCCCTTTCTTCCCTCCTTCCTTCTTTCCATCCTTCCTTCCCTCCTCCCTCTCTCCCTCTTCTCTTTCTCTCTCTCCCTCCTTCCCCCCTCCCTCTCTCCCTCTTCTCTTTCTCTCTCTCCCTCCTTCCCTCCTCCCTCTCTCCCTCTTCTCTTTCTCTCTCTCCCTCCTTCTCTTCCCTCCCTCCCTGCCCAGCTTCCTCACTGTCTCTGTCTCATCTTCCCTTCCCCTCATTATTTTTATTCCTAGGCAGAGCTCAGGGGAATTTTCATTTTCTTTACCACAGCCCAGTCCATCCTTGGGGACCAGACCATGGGAAGGGCTGCTGCTGCTCATATTCATTCTCGGCATGGGCCTAGCTCCTGAGAATCTCCAGATACTTGGCAGGTGGACACGTGGTGTCCCAGGCAGACACAGGCAGAGCGGAACTTGGGTTTTTTTCCAGGCGAGACCACTTCATTCACTCGCTCACTTATTCATCCATCCATTCATTCATTCAACAAACATTTGTTAAGTGCTGATTATATGCTGGACGCCATGAGGCCCTGGAGGAAACAACAGAGTCTTTGCCCTTGAGAAATTCACAATCTAGTAGGAAAAAAATGAACTCAAACTGAAATGCTTTCTTGAGAGCATAGCCCTGTGAGGGAGGGAATTCAAGTGTTCTCATTTGACAGATGAGGAAGCGGAGTCTCCAAGAGCTGACGCAGCTCACTCATGATCATGCAACCCGTGAGAGGTGGAAGGGCCAGGATCCTGGGCTCCCCAGCTTGGGGCCGCCGGCCACACTTGCCTCTCTGACTTTGGAGAAATTTAGGTCTGGCAGAGGTTCTTGACTTCAACCCTTTCCTTTTACAAAGGAGGAAACTGAGGTCTGGAGAGGCGAGAAAGGGCTTGCCAAAGGTCACACTGGAAGGGACTGTCAGAACCAGGATTAACACTGAGGTCTGGGGATCATCCACTAGGCCATGCTGCCTCTTCCACCTACATGGCTGCAGGGACCGGCAGCCCAGCAAGGCCGGGAGAAGGATGGACGGAGGACTTCTGAGCACTGGAACATTCAGCAGCATACAAAGGAAGTATTCAAGCCTCATTTTCCTTGGCCTCTTACACCGTTTGACATTCTTGATCGTCTGATCCCCCACTTCCTTTTAACAGCTCTCTTCCCTTGGATTCCTGAGTCTGTGCTGGCTTGGTTTTCTCCTTTCTACCTCTCAGGCCAGTCCTTGGAGGGCTACCCTTCCTCCAATCCACATTCCCCAAGGTTCAGTCCTTGACCCTTTGATCTTAACTCTGTATCCTCTCCCCCTTGGAGATCCTGGCCTTTCCAGCCTCTCTGACAATAAGAAGAGTTCACATTTATATAGCTTTTCAAGGCCTACAAAACATTGTATGCACACTATTATATTTGATTCTCACAATTCTGTGAGATAGATAATGCCCAATTAACAGCTGAGAAAATTGAGGCTCAGAGAGGTTAGGTGACTTGAATGCATATGCCCTCGATTCCAAATCTACCATCTTTTCCAGCCAATTGCCCCCACAATCATCTTCTCTCTCCCTTATTTTCAGTGTCTCATCTGCTGGGTCCTTTTCTCCTGCTTACGAGTACACCCGTGCCTCCTCCGTCTTTAAGAAAAAAACCCATACTAGACACAACCATCCTCTCAAGTTCTCATCCTCTCTCTCTCCTCCCATTTTTAGCCAAATGCCTAGAAATGCTCTCTCCCCCTCCGCACCCCCACCTTCTTTCCTCAGTCTCTTCTCAGCATTTTGCAGTCTGGCTTCAGACAACATCACCAAGCTGAAGCAGCTTCCTCCAAGGCTACCAATGGCCAAACCCTATGGCTTTTTCCCAGTCCTCCTCCTTCACTCCTCCGTCCCATGGGCATTGCTGATCACCCTCTCCGCCTGGGTCCTTCTTCCTTCATGCCATTGCTCTCTCTTGTTCTCCTCCTATCTGACCATGGCTTCTCAGCCTCATTGGATGGCTCATGCTTTCTATCACAGTCCCTTGTTGTAGGCAGACCCCTGGGCTCCGTGCCCTCTCCTCTCTGCACACACTTTTTCTTGGGGACCTCGTCATCTCCCATGGGTTTCGTGATCACATCTATGCTAGGCAACTCTTGACTTAAAATGCCTGGTCCCAGTCTCTGTCCCGTGGGCATCTCAAACATATCCCATTATCTTTCCTCTCCAAATCCACCCATCTCAAATGTCCCTATCCCTGTCAATGGCACCACTATTTTTCCTGTCCAGGCTCATAACCTTGATGTTACCCTACCTCTCTCTGCCACACATAACCAATCAGGGGCCAGATCTTGTGCTTCCACATTTCTCATCTCTGTCCTCACAGCTGGACAAAGCCAGGTTGGACTCCCTATCCACAAGTCCCTCCCTATTCCAGTCCATCCTCCATTAAGCTGTCAAAGTGATTGCCACAGCTCTAACCATTTCATCTCCCCACCAATTCAATAAACTCCAGTGGCTCCCTATTACCTCCAGGCTCAAACAGAAAATTCTCTGCTTGGTGTCCAAAGCCCTTCACAACCACCTCTCACCTTTTCCACCCTCCCCATCCCTGCCATACTTGGCAGTCCAGTGACACTGGTCTCCTGGCTGTTCCTCAGACAAGACACTCCATCTCCAGAGTCTGGCCATTGCCCCCCACATCTGCAATACTTTCCCTCATCTCTGTTTCTTCTGTCAAGTTCTAGCTGAAATTCCTATCTTGTCCAAGAAGCCTTTCCCAATCCCTCTTCGTTCTAGTGCCTTCCCTCTGCTGATTATTTCTTTTTTATCCTGCTGACTCTCAGAGGAGCCCAGGCTTTCCTGACAGGCCTTGTGGTGAAGGAGAAGGAACGCTACATTTGGGCTCAGAAGGTCTGGGTCTCAGGCCCACCCTTAACACATTGACTATCTGATCTTGGGCAGACTGTGGAACCTCTTTGGGCCTCAGTTTCTTCATCTGTAAAATGATATACAAGTAACATTTGTATGGTCTTCCTCACAGAAATTCTGAGAGGAAGATACTTTGTGGACTCTAACACACCACTGAGAGCCGAGTTCTAATTCTTACAGACATTCTGATGCCCTGGGGAGTGGTGTGACCCAGGTCTAGGGTCTCTTACATCTGCATGGGGTACCTCAGAGGGCACCATTTTCAATCTCTTCTATTGTCCAGAGGCCATGCCCTTGGAAGTAATAGTCACAGGGGACTTATTTTGTCCCTAGAGATGCCCTAAACCCTCCAGGATGACTTTGGTCAAGGGGCAGGAAGGAGGCAGTGGTGCCCAGATACCAGGAGTCTTGTTGGCCAGCCTTCCTGTGGAATCCCTGCCCCAATCACCCTTATTTTCTCTCCTCACCTGCCGTCCAGGCATTCCGGGGGGTCCTGGAGGTCCGGGGACTCCTGGAGGACCCTAAAAGAAAGGAGGGAGACTCAGACACTGGGCAAGGTCCTACCCTGTCTTGGTAAGGGTTGAACAGGGGCGGGAAGCTAGGGGCATGGCGGGACAAGAGGCAGAGAAGCGGCACACACCTGAGGGCCCGGCTGCCAGGAGCTGCCGATCCAAAGTCCTGGAGCACCCTGGTTGGGGGAGGGGATTGCAAAAGAAGGGGAGAGGTTATAGGAGACATCTACACACCAAGCGGGAGGTTGGGGGGGAGAGTGCGAAGGGAGGTCTCTGGCTTGAGCGCAAAGCCCCACTGACCCCCTGGCACAGCGGGCACAGCAGGGGTGAGGCGGGCAGCCGGGCTGCTCCCCCGGGCTAGGGGGGCAGCACTTACCGGCATGCCAGAGAAGACAGGTTCTCCTCGGGAACCGGGGGGGCAGGAGCACTCCCCTGGATCTCCCTGAAAAGAGAAGAGAAGTTACAGGGAGTAGGGAAAAAGGAAGAGGGGGGCATCCTCTGGAGTTTCAGGGAGGCATTGGACCAGATGCCTTCTAATGGCCTGTGACCCCCTGGACCCAGACAGCTGCTGGTCCCAAATGCCCTCTGATCCTTGACCACTCAGCTCCCACATCCCCATTCATCCCAATACAGCAGGTGGGTACTCCACATCTTTGTGTATGTCACAGATGTCTCTGCCCCGGGCTGAAGGGATGAGCATGAAGCTGTGTCTCCACAGTGAGGGATTCCCATACCTGTTACTGATATCCCACACCTGACCCTGGCTGGGTCAGGCCTACCCACCTCCACATGCTGGAAGGAACCCAGGGGAGGAATCCAACCAAACCTTCTGCAGGGAAGGAGGGGAGGGGAAGATCTTGGGGGTAGTGCCGTCCATTATCACGCCCATTGCTACCTTTGTCAATTGCCATGATGGCTTGGATGTATCAAGCCCTTTAAGGTTTACAAGGTGAGGCAGGTGGTACAAATATTATTATCCCCATTTTACAGATGAGGAAACAGGCTCCAAATGGGGAAGAGTCTTGTCCACCAATACAAGATCAGGAACTCTATAGCTTCAGCAGAGCCCATGAACACTCACCTTTTCACCTCGGACTCCCTTCTCCCCCTGGGAAACAAACAGAGCGTAGTAAGAGGCCCAGATGGAGGAGGCAGCCAAACCCCAGCTCTGACTCTGAGCGAGCTACTCACCGGCATCCCACTGGTTCCTGGCAGCCCTGGCTGCCCTCGAGGCCCATCTCGGCCCTAAAGGAGAAGGAAAGGCAGAGGCAGGTGAGGCTGGGTCCAGGCACCTCCCTCCTCATGGGAAGAAAGGAGAAGGAAAGGGTATGGGCACCATCCGGGACTGGGCATCTTGGATGCCTGAGGAGGGAGACCGAGGTTCAAGGGGGCAGCCCAGAGGACTCTCAGAACTGGAGCATGTTGGAGGTGGAAGGAATGGCCCCTTGCCATCTTACAGATGAGAAAACTGAGGCTCGGAGCAGTGGAGGGCCGTGCCTGCGACGAGGGTCCCAGCTAATCAGGGCCAGGGCCAGACTCTGAACCTAAATCTCTACCCCAGACACCTGCATCTTCCTGGGCTCCTCCCAAGAAGCCTCCCCTCCAACTTCTTATGGCCGCAAAGCATTTCACTCAGCTTAATATCTGCTGAGTGTCACGTGTGATTCAATCAAACACAGTTCAACATAGTGGACAGAGAGTCAGGAAGGGTTCAAATCCTGCTTCAGACGCTTACTGGTTCTGCTAGTTACAGTAGACAAGGCACTGAACTGGCTCCTTTCTCCTTATTTGTGAAATGAGAGGGTTAGACTGGGGGGCCTCCAAGGTCCCTTCCAGCTCGAATCTACGGTCCCACAAGTATTTATTAAGCACCTATTATGTGCCAAGCTCTGGGGACACATAGACCAAGGTTACACAGTGCCTGCCCTGAAAGAGCTTCCATCCTACGACACGCGCACGAACAAGCTTATACAAAAGACAAGGCAACAGTAGGGAACAGTGGGAGGCGCCAGCAGCTGGGGGGAGTCAGGAGAGGCCTCATGGAGAAAGCAGAAATTGAACTGAGCACTGAAGGAAACCAGGGATGCTCCAAGGTGGCAGGAAGGCAAGGGGCCCAGGCGGGGCAGAGTTCTGAGGAGGCAGGGGGAGGGTCGCAGGATCACAGAAACATCATTCTTGTCTTCTTGTTGTTCGTCCTTCATTCACAAAGAGGACCGGTGACATGACAAGGACTGGAAGAGATCTCAGACACCATCCAGCCCAACCACCTCCTTTTTTTCAGATGAGGAAACTGAGGCCCAGAGAGGTCAAGTGGCCTACTGCTAAATCTCATCAGTTCCACCCTCACACTCTCTCCCCAATCTGTCTCCTCTGCTCACACAGACACCACTCTGAGGGTCCCGAGTCCTCTTCACCTCCCACCTGGACTATTGCAACCTGGACTCGTCTCTCCCTACTCCAATCCCTCCTCCACTCAGCCACCAAGGTGACTTTGCTAAAGTGTCAGCCCTACAAACTCCAGCAGCTCTCTTCCTGCCTCTCACTGCCCTCCACGCGCTCTATGAGCCAGATGCTGGCCTTCTTTGCTATTCTCTGAACACGACCTGCCATCTCCCACCTCTGCACCTTTGCCCTGACTGTCCCCCATCCTTGGGATGATGGCTGGCTTCCTTCAGGATTCAGCTCCAGTCCTGCTCTCTTGCAGGAAGCCTGGCCCAGGCCTTCCAGTTGCCAGTGTGGTCCTCTCTGAGAATCCTGTCTGTCTCCTTTGGAGGTAGACTGTATGAACCCAGTTATAGACATGTCTGTCTCATCACGATGGGAGTTTATTGAGGGCAGGGACTGGTTTTTTGCTTTCCTTTGTAACCCCAGAGCTTAGCACAGTGCCTGGGATATAGTGAGCACTTAATAAATTCTTGATGACTAAGTAACTGTTGACTGACTACTGACTTGCCCAAAGCCCCTCAGGTTAAGAGTCAAAGGCAGGATTTGAACTCACGTCTTCTGACTCCATGGTTGGTAGTCTTTCCTAAGCCAGTTTGGCAGGACTCTAGAGTATGTGAAGGGGAATAATGTACAATGATGCTGGGTGGAATCAGGCTGGGAAGGGCTTTAAATGCTAAACAGACTCATTTGTATCTGACCCCAGAAGCAATAGGAGCCTCTGGAGTTTAGGGTTATATTTGCACTTAAAGAAAATCGCTTTGACAGCTGTGTGGAAGAGGGATGGAGAGGTGGGGAATCTGAGGAGGGGGTCAGGCACCAATCAGGGGCTGCTGCATGTGTGTCCAGCCCTGGCTTCTGTCCCAGCTCTCCACCAGACAGAGACAAGGGCTTCCAAGGCCTTGGCCAGCCCCACAAACAGCCTGCCCCCGGCCCCAGCCCCCTGGGGCCTCCCAGCCCAGCTTTGTCCCACTTTTCCCCAGCTGTAGGACAGCCTAGTGGGAACAAGGGCTGTGCCCTTACCGGGGGGCCGGTGACACTGAGGCCTGTGGGTCCTGGGGGTCCAATGGCACCTTTCACCCCAGCAGAGCCCTAGAGGAAAGGAAGAAAAAAAAGTTAAAGTTCAAGTATGGAGGACGAAACCGACAGCCCTGCAGCCTCCAAGGGCATCCACTTACGTCCTCATGATAACTTCTGTGGCCACAGAGGAGGCAGCACAGCACGGGAGAGAGAACAGGGTCCTAGGGGCTCTGGGTTCAGGTCCTGCCCCTGACACATACAAATCAGCCTCTCAGCCCTCCAGGAAACTAGGGATCCTAACCCCCCAAGAAGGAGGTCCTTGTGCTGTCCACACCTCTCCCTGTCTCCCTGGCCCTTTCAGGGGAACCAAGAGATTTCTTCACAATAAACGTGTGAGAAGGGCAGCCTGAGATGAGGAAAGTGAGACCCACAGAGATGAAGTGACTTGCTTAGGGTCAGATAACTGACCATAAAGTGCCCGAGGCAGGATTCGAACTAGGAGCTTTAGCCATGAACCATGGCTATAGCCTGCAGCTTCGAGGCCACATGTGGCCTTCTAGGTCCTTGAGTGTGGCCTTTTGACTGAGTTCAAGTTTTACAGAACAAATCCTTTTATCAAGGGGATTTGTTCATAAGGGGATTTGTTCTGTGAAGTTTGGATTCAGTCAGAGGGCCTCACTTGAGGGCCCAGAGGGCCACATGCAGTCTCAAGGCTGCAGATTCCCCACCCCTGGTGTAGCGCCTCCCCCGGTCAAGTTATGCCAGCAGTGCCTCCCCAGAATAGAGGCTGTGAGCCTGAGTCTGAGACTGGGACCTGAACCCAGATGGGGTGTGGCTCATGACTTCCTTTGAGGGGTGGCCAGCCTAGAATAAGCGCTCTTTCTCTTTCTTTCTTTCTTTCTTTCTTTCTTTCTTTCTTTCTTTCTTTCTTTCTTTCTTTCTTTCTTCTTTCTTTCTCTCTTTCTTTCTCTTTTTCTTTCTTTCTTTCTTTCTTTCTTTTTCTTTCTTTCTTTCTTTCTTTCTTTCTTTCTTTCTTTCTCTCTTTCTTTCTTTCTTTCTTTCTTTCTTTCTCCCTTCCTTCCTTTCTTTTTCTTTCTTTCTTTCTTCCTCCTGCCTTCTTTCCTTCTTTCTTTCCTTCCTTCCTCCCTCCTTTTCTTCTTTCCTTCTTTCTTTCCTTCCTCTTTCTCCTTCTTTCCTCTTTCTTTTTCTTCCTTCCTTCTTCCCTCCCTCCTTCCTCCTTTCTTTCTTTCCTTCTTTCTTTCTCCTTCCTTCCTCCCTCCTTTCCTTCCTTCCCTCATTCCTTTGGCAGGGAGAGCCAAGCCACAATCTGCTCCCACACCATTGAAGCGACACAAGTAAGCAACATCTAATCAGGCATGCAATCCTGAATGCTGTCGCCCCAGGCGTATGCCCCTCTCCCGGGAACCACTGTGCTCCCATGCCATCTGCCCTTGCAGCCGCTGTCAGAGCATGTGCACCAGTGACTGCCCCCAGGAGGATTTTCTACCAGGGACAAAGCTCACAGACTGTCTCGGCTTCAATCAGTTGAGGATCTATAGATTTGTCCTGGCGGGCATCCCCCTCCACCCACACCAACTCCACCCTCTCTGCAACAGCCAAAATAGCTCATCTCCCTGAACCTAAGCTGGCAATGAGTCTCTCTCTGGTCCTTGAACAAAAGACATGGAAAACCTGTCATGGAACCCGGGGCTGAAGGTGGCCTTCCGGCTCTACTGGTATAATCAATCCTCCAGATCCAAGGTTACCTCCATGCTGAAACCTGGAGGGCTTTGGCAGAGGGAACTGTTATTGTTATTAACAATCAATCATCAATAACAATAACCTTTAAATATTATTTTTAATGAGGTATTATTATTATTATTAGCCTAGACCTCCTGTGATTACATCAGTGTAGGGTACTTCTAGTGTGGAAACCAGAGCACCAATTCATCTGTAGTTCAGCATCTCAGAGAGTTGCCAGGGGGCACTGAGAGGTTAAGCAATTTGCCCAATACATGCCAGGAGGGAGGCTTGAACTCCTGTCTTCTCGAATCCAAGGACAGCCCACTGTCCACTGTGCCATGCTGTCTCTTTAACTATCAATAATATTAAAAACACATTAAGAGATGCTCTCCTCAAACAACACCGTGATTTAGCAATTGCAACAATTATTATCCCAGTTAAGCCACTTGCCCAAAATCACATCGCTAACAAGGGACTTTCAGGACACTGGTCCTAATTGAGCAGGAGGGGATCTTAGAGATAACTCTGCCCCCATCTTCACTTTACAGATGAAGACACTGAGGCAGGAGATGGGAACTGCCTTGTTCAAGACCTTCCAGCCAGTAAGTAACTCTCAGAGCACTGGTCATTGGCTCACCTTGGCACCTTTCTCACCAACAAAGCCTGGTGGTCCCCGAGGTCCTGGAGGTCCCTGGAGAAAGAAAGACCATCACACTGTATCTCTACAAGGGGCCCCACCCCTCCAAGTCACCCTTACAGCCCAGGGGACAGACGTACCATGGTGCCGGGCAAACCCCGATTGCCGGTCTCTCCCTGTGGACCAGAGAGCATGGATTACAACAGGAGAAGGCCCTAGCACACCTTGACATATGGATTGCTGACTGGCCAACATCTTAGCCAGGATCAGAGATTTAGAGCCAGAGGGATCTTACAGGCCGGTGAGTCCAGCCTCCCTCATTTATAGATGAAGAAATGTTCAATGACTCCCAATTCACTGGGGTACTAAGTGGCACAGATAGGGTTTGAGCCCAGCTCTTTGGACCCTAAATCCAGGCAATTTTTCCATTGCACTAAAGCTGCCTTAATTCAGCAGTATTCCCAGAGGCCCAGGCAGGAATGAGGCAGAGCTAAGCCTGGAAGCCTCCAACCAGCCTAGGGCTCTGTCCCTGAGAAGCCACTGCAGTCAGGTTTCTGTCGGGACTCTGGCCTGGGGCAAGGGCCAGGGGTTGGCAGGCAGTGGATGGGAGGAGGAACTCACCGGAGGACCTTGGACTGACAATCCCGGAGGCCCTGGCTCACCCTGAAGAGAAGGACAAGAAACTCTGGTCTCTAACAATTCTGTCTGCCCCCCTGTACTTCTCTCCCTGGACCCCACCCCCTTCCTCTCTTCCTTCTTGGCCAGCTCCCTCATCCCTCCATATTCCTTCTTGTTCTTTTCCCTGCATCTTTCCTCTCGGCCTCTTCCCTGGTCACTCTCCTTGGCCTCCCTCATCTCATCCTGGGCTTTTTTCCCTCCTTACTTATTCTCTCCCTCTTTGCCCCTCCATATTACCTGCAAACCTTTCAGCCCAGGGGGGCCTTGCACACCAGGCAGGCCGGGCTGTCCCTGAAAGACACAGATGGCGGGAGGGGGTCATCACAGAGCTGGTAGTGACAGTAGGAGCCATCTAGCACAGCCCACGCCCCATCTCCCCCATACAATACACCCAATAAGCAGGCGCCCAGTCCCAGCCTGAAGACCTCCAGGAGGGTGAGACTCACTCGGACTGCACAGCTCATAGGTGCCAGGAGCAGAGTCCAAGGTCAGTCACTTGGCTATGGGGTCTCACTCATTGTTATTCATAACTAATCATGAATAATGAAACACACACATAAAGCACTTTCCTCTGTGCCCAGGAGATAGAGCGAGCAATATCATTCTGGTTTTGGAAGGATCCCACCCCATTTGGAGACAATGCTAAGCATCTGCTGCCCCCACCCATGCTCTCGGTTCTGCCTTCAAAGCCAGCCTCTGCCCAAACAATCTTTCCTGGGTCTGACCACAGCAAACAGGCTCCCTCCAAGCCTCCCCCTCTCCCAGCTAAACATGCTCGGTCCCATCAACCAATCCTCTTCTCAGGTCCCCTCGGTTCATATGCTGGACACACACCCTACAGCTTGCCAATATCTTCCCTAAAATGAGGGCTGGGAACTGAAATCGACATTCTACATGTGCGTGGTCTAATGCATATGGCGCCATTGCTTCCCTTGTGCTGGACCTAGGCTTTGATTAATGTAGCCTGCCATGTCATGATGTAAGCTCATGCTGAACTTGCGGTCCACTAAAACTCCCAGATCTTTTTCAGATGAACTGTTGTCTAGCCATGCCTCTCCCATCCTGTACTTGTGAAGCTGATTTCTTGAACCCAAGAATAGGACTTTACATTTAGCTCTGTTAACATTTCATCTTATTAGCCACAGATCATAATTCCTGCTCGTCCACATCTTTCTAGATTTGGCTTTCATCGTCATCTGTTATGTTAGCTTCTCCTCCCAGATCTGTATCATATCCAGGTTGATAGATGTACTAAGCATGTTTTCAAATAAGCAATTGATAAAAGTGGCAAACGGATCAGGGCCAGGGACGGAAGCCACCCTAGGTATCTATACCACGGGGAAGGGGACAAAAGGACAATGAGGACTCACCGGTTTGCCAGGCCGGCCCACACCCTCGGGGCCCTGGTCTCCCTTGGCACCAGGTTTCCCAGGAATTCCAACAACGTCTGCAAACTCTCCCTGCAGTGTGGGGCAGGCGTCGCAGGCATCTCCCTGGGCAGATGGGGGCAGATGGGCAGTCAGGCAGAGGGGGCTGGGCATCTGAGAAGTGGCACTGTCCAGGCTCAGGAGGCCTTGTCTGCCCCTCTATGCCCACGTGCTAGTAGGGCCAACAGGCCTAGAAGACTTACAATGGTCCTCCCCACATTCAAGAGGATGGTAGCATTTAAAGCCACCCAGCACCTTTGCTATCCAGCTCCGTGATTTTTCAGATGAGGAAACCTGGGTCCAGGAAAGTTAGGTGATGACCCATGGTCATCTAGCTGGTGCCAGAGCCAAGATGTGGGCCAAGATCCTCTCACCCCAAGGCCAGCCAGTGCTCCCCTCCTGTAGTAACAGTCCCCTCCTCCACAGCACCCAATATGATCACTCCTGGGCACAATCCCCAAGGCTCTAGTGCTTGGCAGCTTCCAAGGCCTCTCCCCACAACCATCTGGAGAAGCAGGCTGTCTAAACATCACTCTGGATTTGCAGAGGAGGAAGATGAAGTTGGGATGTGGGGGTGGAGTCAGCAGCTGGCAGCCCCCCGCTGGCCTAGCTGGGAGCTCTCAGAGCTAGGACTCCTACTTACCTGGCCTCCTGGCTCTGTGGTACCCTCCTCCCAAACCTGTTTCTGGCAGCTCTCCAAGAGCAAAGCCCAAGGCCCAGCAGCCTTTGTTTTCTGACCCTCTGTCTCATTTCATTTACTTCCTGATTTTGCTTAGGCTCTGAGCTCTCTCAGGGCCCCTGGTTACAGAATAATTGTCATAATTGAGAGTGAGTGGCACCCAGGCCCAGTGCATGCATGTTAGGGAGGCAGCTGACACCTCAGAGAGGCCCTGGGTGACGGCTGGTGGGAGGGCCAGGCCTCCCCTGCCTGCTAGGCACCGGGAGGGGAAGGTGTTGATGTCCAGCACTTACTTTTTCGCCTTTGGGCCCTGGACGACCCCTGACCCCAGGTTGTCCTGACAGCCCTGGCTGTCCCTCGGTGCCTGGCTTCCCAGGGTCTCCTGGGTTCCCTGCATCACCCTGTGTGAGATTAGGGTAGAAGGGCATGAGGAGGAGAAGCCAGACATGTGGGGCTTGAGAGCATTCCCTAGAGAAGGTGGAGCAGGTCCCCTTCCAGGGGTGAGAGTAGGGCTGAACTTAGCACCCTCAGAGGCCAGAAATAGGGGGATAGGTCAGGGCAGAGAAGGTGAAAAGGAAGTGGATCCCTGTGCCAAGCTGTGTGTGTGTGCGTGCGTGTGTGTGTGTGTGTGTGTGTAGGAACCAGACTTCCTAGGATCATTGGATTTAGAGCTAGAAGTGACCTTAGAGTGAATGAATGAATGAATGAATGAGCATTCTTCATTTTACAAATAAGGAAACTAAAGGCCAGACTGGGGCAGGGGCTTCCCTTAAACCATAATGGTAATAAGTATCAGAGCCAGGATTTAAACCCATATCCTCCGACTTCCAATCCAGTACCCTTTCTTCCACCAACTCTGTCCTACTAGAAACTGTCCCCTGCCCCTCCATGCAACAATACACCCACAAAGCCCCCCTTCTCACCTTCTGCCCCTTCAATCCAGGGTCCCCTGCTTTACCCTAAAGAAGCAAAGGCACATAGGAAAGGAGAGAGGCTGACATCAGTTCTCCCCGGTCCTCTCACACCCCCAGGGATCCCAATGGCACCGAGGGTCCTGCTGAGTCACTGTCCCCTGGCACCTTTAAGTTTCAAAGGCCTCTGGAACGCCTATGGGGGGTGCCATCCTTTATAAGCTCCCTCCCTCCCAGGGTCAGAGGGGACAGACTCACCGGCTTCCCAGGCTGGCCACTACCAGGCTGTCCTGGTTCCCCTTTCTCCCCGGGAGGTCCGGGGAGGGCCCCATTATACGTCTCTGACACGGAAAAGCACTGCTCACATGGCTCCCCCTGGCAGCAGGCAGGGGCACAGAGTTAAGTGGGCAGGGGGGATGCCCCCCCAAGGCCCACTCCAGCCCAATCCCACTTCCTAGAGGCCACTCTTCATCCCAAGTTTGGCACGGACTGGACAGGTGTCCTGGACAAGCCAGGTCAAATTCTTTACCCTGGGTTTGGAATCTGGAATTGGGGAAGGCTATAATAATAATCTGTATATAATGTGTGCATATACTTAAAATTCCATCTGAGCCTCACAGCAAGCCTGTGTGTGAAGTAGGTCCTACAGTTATTATTATCCCCATTTTATAGGGAGAAAAAGGAGTCAAGAGAGGGTAGGTAAATTGTCCAAGGTCACACAGCTAGTAAGCATCAGAATCGGGATCAGGACCTAGGTCTTTCTGACTCCAAGGCAGCACAGCAGCCCCTATACCAGACTGTGTGCCCTTGGCTGGCCACTGGGAAGGTCAGGTCTTTCTGACTCCAAGGCAGCACAGCAGCCCCTATACCAGACTGTGTGCCCTTGGCTGGCCACTGGGAAGGTCTTGGGAGGGGAGGTGGTCGTAGGATATAGAACTGGAAAGGATCTTAGAGACCAACCCCTGATTTTACAGATGAAGAAAATGAGGCCCAGAAAGGCTAAGGGGCTTGCCCAAAGTTACACAGATACCATTCTCCCCCTTCCCTACCCTGCTCCCCAACTATGTCCTATACACATAGACACTGTGTGAACTGTCTGGGCTCTATCCTCCTCCCTCCCTCATCAGTAACTTCCAGCCTCACCTTCTCCCCTTTAATGCCAGTGGGTCCCATGGCTCCAGGAGTCCCCTATGAGAGACAGACTGTGAGAGACCAGCAGAGGTGCCAGCAGGTATCCCAGACCCTTAATGCCAGCCCTCTAGTCTACCATATGGTTGTCAAGGACCCCTGCTCCCTCTTCCTCCTCTCTTTCCCTCTGCCCCTTGCCTTCTCCCTCCTTCATCTTCCCTCTCCTCCACTCCAGGAGAAGGCAGCTGGTTTTGGCCTCCATAACACTGCCTATCCCCACCTCTGCCAGTTCAGACTCACTCACCGGTTGGCCAACTGGCCCCATCTCACCAAAATTACCCTGAAAAGGAAAGCAGAGTTAAAATGGGACTGAGGCAAGGGTTCTGAGTTCCCTAGTGACATCATATATGACCTGCCATCTTCAGCTCTTCCTCCACCCCAAGTCACACTTTCAGCCTCTCCCCAACCTCTCCTCAGCACTTACCTTCTCTCCCTTAATTCCTGTTGGGCCTGGTGCCCCAGCTTTCCCCTGAAAATACACCAAAGTAAGAAATTAGGAGGTTCCTCACCCTGATGAGAAACATCCCAGGACGCTGGAGCGAGGAATGGCAGTCACTTCAACTCCTTGGAGGGAAGAGAAGTCTGCTCGTGTACCAGATGAGAAAACTGTGGCCCAAGATGGGGTTGACTCAGCCAGGGTCATATATTAAGCCAGATGTAGGGCTGGGATGAAGGCCAAATAGTCTCATAGTGGAGGCCTCCCACATTGGTTGAGGGAAGGAGTCTAAGATCATGGGACTCCTGGGTTGCCCAGATACCAAACCCAAGACTTTGGGATTAATGGGGAACTCCACAGGTCTAAGGGTACAGTCACTCACTGGGGGGCCAGGCAGTCCAAAACCTGGGAAAGTCACTTCTCCCTTGATCCCCAGCAAGTTCTGAGCACCTATGCCTGGGCTGCAGGACAGACATGGCTCCCCCTAGAAAAAAGCCCCAGAGTGAACAGAGGGTCACCCCACCAGCCCCAGAGTCCTTCCCTTCACCCTGCCTGGTCCTTAAGCTATCACCCTCTGGAAGAATCACAGAATCTCAGAGCTGATGGGGATACCAGGGAGCATCCAGTCTAATGGGTCCCTGAGCAGGAATCCCCACTACAACATCTGCAATGAAAGATATTCTGATCTGTCCTTTAAGACCCCAGTGATGGTGATCTCCTGGCCTCCTGGGGGCAGCCTGTTCCACTCTTTGGAGAGCTCTGATCGGTAGGAAGATCTTTCTTACACCAAGCCTAAATCTGCCCGTGTAATTTCTACCCCCTGCTCCCAGTTCTGTCCTCTGGAGCTAAGCATGATAAATCTACTCCTTTGTCTTCACCGCAGCCCTCCCCTTCTCTAAACTAAACACGTTCAGTTTCTCCAATGGATTTATGTTGCCCACTTCCCGCCCCAAGACTGGCTGCTGGTCAGGGGGAGGAGGTGTGAGCTGTAACTCATCCAAGTCCTTCCTCTAATTTAAGGCAAGATTGTGTTAACACTGTTTTGATTGCTTCGTCTCACCCTCGACTCACCTCGACTTCACAGCAGCCCAGATCTTCTGCATATGAACTGTCGTCTAGCCAGTCCTCCCCTATCTAGTACCAGTGAATTAATTTTTTAAACCCAAGTGTAGATCTTTATATTTGTCCTCCTAAAATTCCACTATTATTAGATCTGGCTTATCATCCCCAGCTCATCTGGATCCTTCCAGATTCTGATTCACCATCCACCATCTTAGTTGCTCCTACCAGCATTCATCCAGATGGCATCTACGCCCTGATCTAAGTCATTGAAAAATGTTAAGCAGAACAGGGCCCATACGGGGAGGGGGAGAGAGGGGAAGGGAATGAGCATTTATTAAACACTTACTGTGTGCCAGGCACTGTGTTAAGTGCTTTACAAATATAATCTCCATGGGGTCCTCCAATAGAGACCATTCCTCCTTCACTGCCAGACTTTACAAAGTATTAGCTAGGTTCATGGCTTCTACTTCCTCGCCCCCCTTCACTCAATCCCTCTATTATCTGGCTTCTGTGCCCCCACTAATCCTCTTCTTTCTAAGCTCACCACTGACCTACTAACCCAACCTATTAACCTCTTCCTCAATCTTCGTTGTCCCTGACCTTTCTGAAGCAGCTGATATTATGGATTACTCCTTCCACTTTGATACTCTTTCCTCCTCTGGCTTCCATGACATTGATTACAGTTCTCCTGCATCATCTTCCCTCAAGGCTCTGATCTATCTTCACTCTGTCCCTGGCTAGTCTTACCCACTCCCATTGCTTCAATAAGCACGTCTATGCAGAATGCCTCCCAATTTAGGTCTCCAGCCCCGATTTCCCTCCCTCTATCTCTGGCTCTAGTCTCTCATATCCAGATGCCTCCCCCTTGATGGCAAGGTTGGTACCCCTAAATGAATGAATCTAAAACAGAATATGTCACCTTTCCTCCTAAAGCTGCCCTGTCTCCCCAGCTTCCTCATTTATGCGCTTTGTTATTGTTGTTCAGTCATTTTTCAGTCGTGTCCGACTCTTCATGACTCCATTTGGGGCTTTCCTGGAAAGGATACTGGAGCCATTTCCTCCTCTAGCTCATTTTACAGGTGAGGAAACTGAGGCAGACAAGGTAAAGTGACTTGCCCAGGATCACACAGCTAGGAAGTGTCTGAGGCCAGACTTGAACTTAGAAGATGAGTCTTCCTGACTCTAGACTCTACCCACTACGCCACCTAGCTGCCCTATTTATGCACATAGCACCACTATCCTTCCAACAAGCCAGTCTTAGGATCCTGTCAATCATCTTTGACTCTTCCTTCCTCTTCACACCACCCCCGCCCCCTAGCCAAGCAGTCGCTAAGGCCTCCAGATTCTGCCACCACAATACTTCTCCGGGCTGTCGTCCTCTCGCCACATGCAAGGCCTCTGGCTGCCATTATTTCCTCCCACCTGGATGACTGCAGTAGCCTCCCAGCTGGCCTTTCTGCCAACATTTCTAATGCATTGTGCACGGGTGACTTGAATGAACACACCCTGCCCTGGCCATGTCACTCCCATCTGAAACTCCCAGTGCCAGCCCTGCCAACCCCGTCTCAGTTCCCTATTTTTGTCCCATCTCTCCCGGCTCTGTGACTTTGTGGCTAAAATGGACTCTCCCCATCTCAGTCTGTTGATATTCCCGCCGTTCTTCATAGTCCTCTTCAGATACCAGCTCCTCCGTGGAGCTCTGCCCAACTTTCCCCACAGGAAAAAATGGTTTCTCCCTACAGAAAGTTCCCAGAGTCCTTTGCCCTTACCAGAGTTCTGCTGCCCTTACCTCTTGCTGCCTTGTATCATAGTTATTTGTGACCCTTTATCATAAGCATCTTGCATGCAGAAACTATATTATGTCTATCTTCCTAATGGCAAATGCCTCTAATATCTGTGATTTCATTCATCTCAATGTGCAAACCCCCCTCTCCCCAATGACGTAACTACCCATCTAAGCCTGTGTAGAAAAGTCCTAGCAATTAGCTGTCTGAGGCTCAGAATCATTTAATGACCCACTCAAGGTCACCTGCACAGACAGAATTTGAACTTAGGTCTTCCTAAGTCTAGAACTCTACCCATAGTACCAGCTGCCTCGGACTGGCATACAACAAGCATGTAATTCAATTTAGTAAGCCTTTCTAAAGCACCTACTAGGTTCCAGTCACAGTGCCAAGGATAGGGGCTAGCCTTGTGATTTTATTAGTATGAGGAATTCAGCTCCTTTTCTGCAGCTAAGAGTCTCAGAAAGTTGCTGAAAGCACAGAGAGGCTGGGCAATTTGCCCAGGGTCACACAGTCACTCAGTGTCAGAGGCCAGGTTTGAACACAGGTCTTCCTGGCTTTGAAGCCAGCTCCCTACCCACTCTAAGATGTGCTAGGGAGACAAAGACACAGTGCCTGTCCTCAGGTGGCTTATATTCTACTGGAAGGGAGGAGGAGGACAATTTGTACGTAGTCAATGAAACACACGTAGAAGGAAATGCAAAGAAACTGGGGGTGGGTGGCAGAGTACTAACAAGGAGGGGTGGGGATGGGAGGTCAGGGAAAGTCTCGTGGAGAAGGTTGGCACCCGAGCTGAGCCTTCAAAGGAGTTAGGGATTCTCTAAGGCAGAGGTGGTGGCAGGCATGGGCATGGAAATGGACCAGGAGCAGCAGGGAGGCCAGTACGGCTGCAACACACAGCAGCTGGTATAGTGGAGGGAGTGAGGACTGAAGAGTGTGTGAGGAGTAATGAGAAATCAATTTAGAAAGCCAGGTTGGAGCCAGATTGGGTTGGGCTTTATATAGAGCAGTTTCAAATTTGCAAAGATAAGTAGGTGATTGGTGGGGTGACCTATGCTGAGAGCATTTGTTTTGCTGTGTGAAATTAAAGGGGTGGGAGGTCCCACTTACCTTTTCACCTTTCATTCCACTGATGCCAGGTTCTCCCTGCCCAGAGACAAGAGGGGGCTTTGGCTGGGGAATGGGGCAAGGTTCAGAACCCCCAGACCCCAGCCAAGGCGGAGAGGAGGGGAGGGTCTCTGTCAACACCTCCCCCATGGCACTGCAGTGGGAGTGAGAGCTGGTTCTCCCCTTTTTGGGGCTATTCAAAGGACAGACTGGGTCAGCTGGGACAACCCCCTTGTTTTTTTCCAGATGAGGAAACTGAGGCCCGAGTTGAGGGTGAGATGGGTGGGGTAGTGATCTGCCCCAAATCCCCCAGTGACAGTGGCAAGTTAGGATCTGCACCCAGACCCAGGCTCCCACACGGATGTAAGCTGGGGCCCCGCCTTGCCTGCACCAGGTCCCCCAATACCTACCCGGTCGCCCTTCCTCCCCGTAGCGCTGCCTAGGTAATCCTGAAAGAGAGGCCGGGCTGGGGTGAGGGCAGGGTGGTCTGACGGCCCCGCATCACCCCGGCCTCCCTCCCTCCCTCCTTCCCTCCCAGCCTCGCCCTGCCCGTCTGCCCCGGCTCACGATGAGAGCCGGCTCCACCCCGGCACCCCCGAAGGGCATCTTGCCCGCACAGCTACAGCCGCCTCCCTGGCGCAGGGGGCCGTTGCTATGGAGACGCAAGAGGGCGGGGTCGTTGCCATGGAGACGCCAGGAGGGCCGGCGCCAACTCTATGGTCCCTCCTCCTGGGGAATAAAAGGGACATCCGGCCCCTGCAGCCCGCTCTGTGATCTATGGTTCTGCCCCTGGAGAAGAAGAGGATGCGGACCTTCCAGGAAGCCCATCGCTGGTATTGCTCGGCTCTGTAATCTATGGTTCTGCCCATGGGGGTTGAGGAGATGTGGCCTTTCTAGGCCACCCCACGGCAGTGGTCTGGTTCATTTTGAATAACGGAGGCACATGGTCCCACTTGGAGAAGGAAATAGCAAACCACCCCAGTACCTCTGCTAAGAAAACCCCAGTGGGGTCGTGAAGAATTGGACGCGACTGAAAAATGACTGAATGACTGAATGGTCCCAGTAGCCTACACTATAACATATGATTATGTCTATGGAGAAGAGAAAAGGATGTGGCCATTCTCTAGTCTCATCTGTGGTCTTGCCAATTGGGAGCAGTGGGGACACATGGGCCTACTATCCCACAGGGTGATCTATAGCTCTGCCACTGCACGTGGAGAGTACAAGGATGCCCTGGGCCCACCTCCCATCAGGGGTCTTGAAGAGAGAGAGAATGTGGCCTCTTTAGACCATGCCCACCAGTGGTGGTACCCATAGGGAATAACCAGGGCATGATTTTGCCCATGGACAGTGAGAGATGATGGGCCCTTCAGATCACCCCTCATCAGAGGTGCTGCCTATCGGGAATGATGGGGACATCTGGTCTCTACTGCCCACATTATGGCTTTGTTCAGGGAGAGGTTGTGGCTCTCCCATGTCAATGGTCTAGGGGAATGAGAGAATATGGCCTTTCTAGACTCTACTATCCTTATGGGGGTACCCATAAGGAATAAATAGGAGTATACGGTGCCACTAATCCATACTTTCATCTATGGTTTATGGAAAGTGAGAGAGCATGGAGATCAGTGAACATGTCCATGGGAATAATGGAGGAACATAGCCCCCACCAGTTTATACCACAATCTATTATCATACACTTGGGGACTAACGGAGGTACATGACCCTTCTTTTTTTTTTTAATTTTCTATTTTTAGGCAATTGGGGTTAAGTGACTTGCCCAGAGTCACACAGCTAGTAAGTGTCAAGTGTTTGGTCTGAGGCTGGATTTGAGCTCATGTCCATCCTGACTCCAGGGCCGGACCTCTATCCACTGTGCCACCTAGCTACCCCAACATTACCCTTCTAAGCCACCCAGAACTGTAACCAGGAAAGGCCATCAGAGTTTTGTCCCAGGGTACAAAATTTAGAGGGTGCTAATTCACTGTTCTGGGGTACCCTTCTTCCTCTGCCTATCCCCACAGCAGTGATGATCATATCCTGGCCAGGGACATGGTAGGGGTTGGGGCTGGGGAGGGATTCCTCACCATTTAGCAGATGCCAAACCTCGTGGAATCTTGAGGCTCACCTCCTCCCCCTAGTGACCATACTTAGATAAACCTAACCCCAAATCCATTCTGCCTCAGACACAAAAATGTTAGCTTTCAGAGGCCACTCTGTGTAAATAGTCACGCCTGTGAGTATCTGTGTGCCCTCCACTCTGCCCAGCAACTGCCATCCCACCTGGAGCTTGCCAGGCTCTCCTGGCTCCCCCTTTGGGCCAGGTTTTCCTGGCAGTCCCACGAAGTTCTGGAGCCCCTCGGGCAGTGTAGGACACACTTCACAGGGGTCACCCTGCAGGAGGAAAGAAACTGTGAAGGGAATTCTGGACCCAGGCCAGCTCTAGACCTGCCCCATTTAATTCCCAAAATCACTAGCCCTGCCCAACCTTCTTCTCCACCAACCCCAGGCTCAGTAGCTCCCCCAAGGGACGTGTGAGAACATCTTGGTCCCTGCAGTGGGCAAACAACACCCACGGGGACCCTCAGCCCTGAAACCTTCCATCCAGACCTCACCTTTTCTCCTTTCAGCCCTGGTATCCCTGGTTTCCCCTATTGGAAAAAGAAACCTTAATGAGCAGGAGGCCCATGGGGAGGGAGGTGGGTATAGTTGGAAGAGGAGCCCAAGAGGGTAGATCTACAGCTCGGTAGAGCTGGCCTTCCTTTGCCCTCTAAGCCCTTCCAGGAAATACTCACAGGCTTTCCTCCTGGACCTTCCTTCCCTGGATACCCAGAGCTTCCCTGCAGAGAATAGCCAGAGGCAAAGGGTTAGTGGTGTAGGAGGGATATGGGAGGAGAGTCACAGATCACCATGTCCAACCCTCCCCATTATACAGATGGGAAAACTGAGGTCCAGACAGGGTGAATGGTTTATCCAGGGATATACAGCCAGTGAAGGGCAGAGCTGGGACCAAAAGCCAGGCCTCCTGATTCCTGATCCAAGGTTCTTTCCCTTGTGCCGTATACTTGCCAGGGACCTGGACCTCCTCTTCCAGGGAGTCCTCCTCAATGCAGCGACTCCAGGGTGAGTTCACTTCTTCAGCCCCTTCCTCCCTGCTCCCTTACCAAGCACCCTTCCCTTATGGCAAGTTCTTCCCTCAATTCCAGCTACAGCCCAAGAGATATTATGTAATATTAATATATATATATATATACACACACACACATGCATACATACATACACACATATGTATATGCATGTGTATGTGTATGTGTATATGTGTATGTTATGTGTATGTGTATGTATATGCATGTTGCTTTTCTTATGAATAACAACAGGACAGCAAAGCAGCGCATAGAGGGCCAGGCCTAGAGTCAGGAAGACTTGAGTTCAAATTTGGCCTCAGAAACTTACTAGTTGTGTGATCCTAGGCAAGTCACTTAACCCTGCTTGCCTCAGTTTCCTCATCTGTAAAATGAGCTTGAGAGAAATGGCGAACCACCCCAGTACCTTTGCCAAGAAAACCCCAGATGGGGTCGGGAAGGGCTGGACGTGACTCGACTGACTGAACGACAACAGGTCACGTTTCTCTCACCCTTTAGAATGAACCCAGCTTTTTTCTCACAACGGCCCGGGGAGGTTCAGAGTATAATTTAGCATTGCACCCATTTTACAGATAAGGAAAGTAAGGCTTAGTGAGGTAAAGTCTTAGGATCACATAGTTCAGAGGATCGTAGATTTACAGCTGGAAGGGACCTTAGTGGCCACCAAGTTCAACCCCCTCATTTTACAGAGGAGGAAACAAACACAGAGGAGAAGTGACTTGCCCAGGGTCACACAGCTAACTGAGGCAGGATTTGAAGTCAGGTCTTCCTGACTCTGAAGTCAGGCACTCTTATTCACTGCTCGGGTCTGCCTCATCTGCTAGGGAGTATGAGGGCCAGGACTCGATTCCAGGGCTCCTGACTCTTCTGTCTGGCTCTAGCCAAACACACTTTACTCCTGGTATGTCCTTTGCAGGGTCAGCCGTTCATCCTTTCCCAGCTGCTAGTTTCATACCCTCTAAGTTACCTTCTTTGTCTTGTATGTTCCCATTTAAACATGTCATCTCCCCCATTTGAATGTAGGCAAGCTCCTTGAGGGCAGGGCCTACTTTTGCTTTTGTAGCCCCACTGCTTAGCTCAGGGCCTGGCATTTAACAAATTCATACTGATTGTTGATGTGACTTGTGGCCTCCCCAACTTTCAGAGTGGAAAGAATAGTGGATCTGAAGTCTCTGATGCACACCAGATGTGTGACCTTGGGAAGGTCACTTCCACTCCCTGGACCTCAGTTTCCACATCTGTAAAATGGGGAGAATAATCTCTGCCGCACTGGCAAAGATTGTGCGATGTTTACGTGAGACGATGTTGGTAAAGCTGTCTGTATAAAAGGCAGCTGTTATTGATCACGACAATGCTCATCACCATCTCTCTAGCTCAGATTTCTGTCTTGTCCTTGCTTCTTACAGCAGGATTAGAGGCCTTGGGTGAGTCCCAAAGGCAGCCACTTGTCACAGGGTCAGACACCCTTTTGATATCGATGGAAAGACTGAGAAGGGAGAGCCTTCGTTATTGCATGAAGCGACTTGGGGTCAGGGCCCAGAATGAGCTGGTTGGGGCTGAATTGGCCCTTCTAGGGCCCTGAACACATCCCCCAACAGTGCCCTGCGCACTGGGCAAGGCTTTGTGACTGTGAAGGGAGCCAGGGACCTGGGGGAGCTGAAAGGCGCCGGGAGCTGGGAGGAGAAGAAAATGAAAATAATCCATTTTCTCCAGCTTATTACAGATTAATCTCCAGACTCCTGAGTCGGAGACTGGCTAAGGCTTGGCCTCTTTCCTGGGAGGGAGACAGGGGCTGGGGGCGGTGACTGAGAAGACTGTCTGGGGTTTTCAACCCTTTCCCTCCCATGTCCAGCTGTGGCTGGCTTAGCCCCGAAGCTCCCCGAGTTTACCTTGTCTCCTTTTGGACCAGCTGGGCCACCAGGGTCGCCCTGTAGGCAGAGGCAGAAATTAGACTCAGCAACCTGCCTTCAAAAGCCCCTTCTCTCTTCACCTTTGGATCTCTCCTCCTGAGGGGGTGAAGTATCTCCCCCAGACAGGAGTTGTGATGCCTTCTCAGACTAAGGATCCCTGAGGTCAGGGGTATACCTACCCCTCAGACTGGGGGTCCCTGAGGGAAGAGCTACGTCTCCCCCTCAGAACTGGGGTCTCTGAGGTAAGAGTCATGTCTATCCTCAGACTAGGGGTCCCCCTAGGATTAGAGCTGCATCCTTTCAAATTGAAGGTCCCTGAGATCAGGGGTATGTCTATCCTTCAGTCTGGGGGTCGCTGAGGGCAGAGCTGTGTCTCCCCCTCAGAACTGGGGTCTCTGAGGTAAGAATCATGCCTGTTCTCAGACGGGGGTCCCTGAGGGCAGAGCTGTGTCTCCCCTTCAGAACTGGGGTCTCTGAGGTAAGAGTCATGCCTATCCTCAGACTGGGGGTTCTCTGAGGTTATGTCTCCTCTTTCTCATCTGACCCAGTCCTCTGCTCTCAGGGTCTCTCTGGATAGGGTGATGGGAACAGGCCAAATTTATGGGGCACAATGAGGGAATCTTGACATGGACTACCCCATGTGTGGGGAGAGAGGTTTGAGGGCACTCACGGGCTTTCCTGGCAGCCCGATCCCAGGGGGTCCTGGGAGTCCTGGGGGCCCTGGCTCTCCAGCCAGTCCCTCTGGTCCAACGAAGCCGGGATCACCCTGGCCCAAACACAAAAAGTCAACAAGCATTTATTAAATTCCTACACTGGCATTGTACTAGGTGCTGGGGACAAAAGTAAAGCACAAAAGTGAAACTTGCCCTGCCCTCAAGGAGCCTCCATTCTACTAGACATGGGAAATGGGAAGACTCTTCCTATCATGCCACTAGCCCACAGAAGGAAGCCCCGAGAACCCTTACCTTCTGCCCTTTGGGCCCAATGACACAGATCTCCCCAGGCCGGCCCTACAGAAAACGGGAGATAGGTGTGGGAGGCTGGCTCCAGCCTGAGCCCTGAGCCCTGGGCCTTGACGCCAGAGGAGCCCAAGTGTCCCTCTGCCCTCCCCTGCCCCACATCCCCATGCGTCTTACATCTCGGCCAGGCTTCCCCACGGAACCCTTGAAGCCTGCATCTCCTCTCTCTCCTTTCTGACCCTAGGAAAGAAGACAGAATATCATCTTAGGGTGCAGACCTAGACTCCAGAGCTTGATTTGTGAAGATTAAAAGAAGACACATTGTGTTGTCATGGATACAGAGTCCATCTCAGAGCCAGGAAGGCCTGGGTTCCAGTTCTGCTCGTGACAGACGGAAGGCCTGGGTTCCAGTTCTGCTCGTGACAGACGGACTGGCTTGAGTGACCTTGGGTAAGTCATTTAACCTCTAGGAACTCTGGGAAACTCTCTAAGACTGGAAGGTGCCTACTAGCATTGGTAGTGGGAGCTTCCTCATCTGGGAATTCTATATATCGATGAAATTGCAGGTCCAGTCCCTGCCTCGGTGGTAACATATGTAAAAAGTGAGAATATTGATTTTTTTCTTTGCTTTTTGGTAAGGCAATTGGGGTTAAGTGACTTGCCCAGAGTCACACAGCTAGTGAGTGTCAAGTGTCATAAGGCCAGATTTGAACTTAGGTCCTCCTGACTCCAAGACTGTAGCTTTATGCACTGTGCCACCTAGCTGCCCTGATGATATTTATTTTAAAAAAAAAAGGCTTCGCAAACCTCCAAATAGTACATTAATGACAGTTTTTACTACAACAGAAGGATCAGGGATGAGGACTGTCAGAGAAGTAGGGGCATGGGTGACCAAACCTCCTGGGGGCCCTGACAGCTTGAGGTTCTGGTACTCAGAGCCTTCTTGCTCCCCCACCCAACTGTCTGTCATAGCTGGGATCAGAGAGTTCACTAAATCCAGGTTCCTCATTTTACAGATAGGGAAACTGAGGCCCAGAGAAGGGACTCAAGGTCACAGAATGTCAGAGCCAAGACCAGACTGCAGGTCTCTTGACCCCTAAGGTGAGGGCTCCTCTGACTTCATTGCAAGTCTTCTTTTCCCTAGAGAAGGCAAAGAAAGCCTACCTTCTGCCCAGTCGATCCAGTAATTCCAGTGGGACCCTGGAAGAAGGATAAAAGGAGGAGAGAAGGTGAGCCCCTGTCCCCTGCGATGCCAGCCCCAGCTCTCATACCCTGACTCCTTCCTATCCCACCCTGACCGTGCCCTAGGGGCCGCCCCACTCACCGGGTCTCCTCGATCTCCCTTTTCACCCTTGGGACCTTCAGCGCACTGGTGAGTAGGAGAAGAGAGAGTGGGTGAGGGAGGAGCGTGGGAACCTCTACCTTACTTAGGAATCCAGTATGGATCACTTCTCCTGTGTGGCTGAATACTCTCCCCACTGCCCTCCAATTCCACTGAGCCTTACCTGGAGAGGGGCCTCCGGGGAGGTACGGACACAGTCAGAACCCTGTGGGCAAAAGGGAGTTCAGGAGAAGAGGGACTGGGGCCAGAATTGCAGCAGAGGGGGATGGAGATCAAGATTCGGGGGAAGAGAAACCAAGGGTAGGTGGGGCGTTAGAGTTACAGGGAGTTAGCAATCTTCCTGGTTCTGCTGTTCGGCTGTTTTCAGTCGTGTCCAACTCTTCATGACCCCATTTGGGGTTTTCTTGGCAAAGATACTGGCGTAGTTTGCCATTTCTTTCTCTAGCTCATTTTACAGATGAGGAAACCGAGGCAAACAGGGTGAAGTGGCGTGTCCAGGGTCACACAGCTAGTGAGTGTCTGAGGCCAGACTTGAACTCAGGAAGAGGAGTCTTCCTGACTCTAGACATGGCACTCTATCCACTGTACTACGTAGCGACTCCATTCTACTAAATGGGAATTGCTAGGGGAAAAGACTCTTTGTTTCCTGGAAGATGGTACACACTCTGGGCATTCTGGGAACCTAGGGGACACCCTTTCTCAGAGCAGGGAAGGCTTCTGTGTGCCTATACCTGCCTCTGCGACGACAGCTGCCTTGGCTATAGGAGGAGGTCCCCCCACTGCCAGCTGTCAGCCCCTCTCCCACAGCAGGCACGGGTGATGGTTACTTACCCGAGCTCCTTTCTCTCCTTTGGGTCCTTCAGAGCCAGGTAGACCCCGCTCACCTTTCCCACCCTGTGGGTAAGAGCAGAGTGGAACTCAGCCTCTTAGACCAAAGCTAACACAAGCAAGCAAGATGGGGAGAGGTGGCTAGCCCACCTCACACGGGGGCACATGCAAAGCCCTTTCCCACTCCAAGTCCCATGGTCCCTGTAAGCATTTGTGCCCAGTAATTCTGGGTATGCATATACGTGTTTAGATTGGAATAGCCACATTCAATCTCAGGGAAATTATTTCCTGCCCTTATCTCTAGCACATAGACACAAGGGGACAGATGTACATAAAAAGGCATGTGGGGCAAATATGACAAAGCCACAGGTAGACTGCCTCCCTGCCCTCCCCCCCCACATCCACGCATAGGCACCATGCAAATATACATACACACGCATGCACAAACCCCCACAGTTCACACATAGAGATACAAGTGTACGTGTCATGCTCATGTACATGTAGCCCCATTGGTAAACATGCCTCGGATACACACACATGCCATCACGTGTAGAGTGTGTGTCCCACGAGAGAATGTGCACACATTTCCATATACCCACAGTCACATGGTTACCCCGAGGGTCATACACACACGACCATAATCATGCAGGGCTGAGGACAGCAGCTTGGTGGTTGGGGGTGGTATGGGGAAGGCAGGAGGAAAAGACCAGAAAACTCTGTCCCCTGGGGCTGAGGACTCACCTTAAGACCAGGAGGACCCAGTGTGACCTGAGGAGACACAGAGATGGGTGAGCAGGGAGACAGGGAGGCCAAGGGGGGAAGTAAATGTCCGGAGGGGAATTCTAAGGCCCAGAGAGGGCAAGCAACTTCACTGGGGCCTCAAGGGGAGGAAAAAACTGACCCCCGACATCCTCCCCATTCCACTGCTCTTTCCACCCATCTGGCTCTGGATTCCCACTTCCCCCTTCTGGACCCTCTATTTCAGCAGATGGAGAATGGGTCTGGTCTTTGTCCCCCCCCCCCAAGTTTATCTCCTCCTTCCCAAGCTGCTCATTTGCCATGGCAATCCTGCTGTTTCCATAACAACTTCACACACATCTGGAAGCCATAGGCCTGCCAGATGTTACAGGCTAGTTTGGCTGGGAAGGGTATTGAGAATCCAGTGGGGAAAGACGATTGGACAGGGGAGGGACGGAGCAGCACAGTCATGGGGGACAGAGTCATGGAAAGTTGGGAGTGGGGAGGGCTGGGCCACTCCTCATGTCTCCCAACCCTGAGCCCTAGCCTACACTGTTCCCAGTGTTCCTTCCCGCCTCCGATATCCTGCTAGGAGCCAAGCCAAGTCTCCCTGAGCTCCAGAAGGAGTTTGGGGGTAAATAGGAACCCAGGTAACCCCACCAGCCAACTCCCTCTGCAGCTATGGGGAAAGGGGATATTCAGAGCAGAATGGCCTGGATTTTGACTGAGGGGCCCTCGAAGGGAACGCTCACTGAGAGATTAGCATGGGGATGGTCTGTCCAGCCCTCCAGCCTACGGGCTCCTTTAGCCAAGGCAGAGCAGGGGGACATTCTGGGCAGGCCCACTGAGCGCATCAGAGCTGTGGGAGAGGGATGAGTCAGGCTGGCGGCATGGGGGGTACCCAGCCACATGTGGGTGTGGTTGTGGGCATGGTGGGGACACAGTTGGACAACAGCTGCTGGGGCCCCTTTCTTCCCCTCAAACCTCAAGGGATGGCCTGGGAGAGGGAAACCTAAGGTCCCTGCCCCTCCAAGGCCAGACCAGACCTCCAGGCAAGACCCTTGGGAGCAAGATGGACCTGCGGCTGCCCAGGCTGGGGTCAGAGCTATGATTTGGGAAGAGGACTAATCTTTAGCCAAGGTTCATACTATCTAGAGCCAGAATAGATTTCAAGGAGTGAAGCCCCTTATTTTCCATATGAGGATGAAGATCTTGGGAATTCTCCGGGTTTCCTGGCTACCCAGCAAGCCAGCAGCAGAAACCGGATTGGAGCCTCCATCTTTGACTCCTGGCACTGTTCTCCAAGGGGGAGACCAAAGGGACCAAAGGGGTAGTCCTAGGTGTTTCTCTCCCTAAAAGATCCCCAAACAGGACACATAACAAGAAAGGATCCCTCTGGCCATGCTCGGGGTGGACACAGCAGAGCCCGGGGCGTTGAAGCCCCAGGGAGGGGAGGAAGAAGAGCAAGCTATGGACAGCCCCATTCTCAGCCAAGTAGGAGCCTAGAAAGGGACCTCAGGGGCCATCTAGTAGCCACCTCATTCTAGAGGTGAGGAAAACGAAGCCTAGGGAAGATGCCCTGCTCAAATGGGGTGACTATCAGCCGGCCCGCACCCAGAAAGGGCCCACAGAGTGGCCCTGTGTTCTGCCCACCCAGACTTGAGAGCCCCCTCTATCTTCCCCCCTCCACACATTTGGGCTCCTTCCCTCCCACCTGGTGCCCTTGCCTCTGCGGGCTCACTCACATTGTTCTCCATGGCATGGCTGGCACAGGGTGGGCACTAGAGGAAGAAAGCTTAGTCACCGGTCAAGTCAGCCTTGGGGATCCCACAGGAGAACCTTTTCCCAGCCCCCTAATTTGCAATGTCCTGAACATTCAACAGCTTCCTGGGAGCAGCTGTCCTGGCAGATCCAAGCTGGGCTGAGAATCAGGCCCCCTGGACATGCCCACTGGACATAGCTAGTGCTGCTGCCCTGGGTGCCATTCTACCGTCTGCACACACGCGCATCACCCAGTTAGCACTGAGGAGCTCGCCCTGAGTGCACACACGTGCATTGCCCAGTTGGTGCCCAGGAGCTTGCCCTGTTAGCGCCCAGGGGCTTGCTCCACAGTAGGGCATGGGGGTAGAGATGGATGGATCTCAGAAGTCATCTAGTCTAACCTCATTTTCCAGATGAGGAAACTAAGGCCCAGGGAGAAGAAGGGACATGCCCAAGATTGTAGGATCATAGGATCTAGAGATAAAAGAATCTCTGCAGGTCATATGCCAATGCACTCATTTGACATATGGGGAAACTGAGGCATAGAGCAATTACATGACTTTCCCAAGGTCACATTGCTAATACATAATGGAGTCAGGATTTGAACCTAGATCTTCAGACTCCTGATTTCATACTCTTTCCACTATGCCAACACTAGGTTGAGAGGGCACAGGCAAGGAAGGGAACCCGTGACCCCATCTTCCTTGGCCCTAATGGCCCCCTTGGTGTGGGCCTTGCATTGCAGGTCCACAAAGGTCTGTCAGACTGACTGAGAGAAGCTGAACTCCCCCCTGTTCCCACGGTGGCTATCTCAGGGCCAAGGTGGTCACTTCTCCACAGGCCTCTGAGCTAAGCCAGTAATCCCTGTGTGACAGGGCAGAGTGCCCAGGCCTCTCGAGGAATGCAGAGAGACGGGCGGGCTTCCGGCTGCCCCGCTCCCCTCTGACTGCCCCCAGGCATCCTTAAAGACTTATTTCAGGGGCTTGTTGGGCCACCTTCACAACAGGCCTCTCTCTGTCCTTCCCAGGCAGCCTTACCTCATCCGCTGGCATAGTCTTCTCTAGCCAGGAGGGGTCCTAACGGGAAGGAGAGGCAAAGGGATGTGAAGATGGAGGGGGAGGAACGGAAAACAGGGGAGCCCTAGCTGCCAGGGCTGTCCAGCTTCACTACAACTGGGGGCCCAGGGACCCCAACATCACAAACTAGGCCAGTGTGGGCATCACAGTTTTAGTTCCCTGGTGATGACAGGGACCTTGGTGGGCATCCATGTGGTGCCCAGTGAGCCTTTCTGCTTTGTAGACCTGGTACCTCTGCCCATGGACCCTGGAGCGTTTTTAGGAGACAAACTGGATAAGACTTCAAAACGCAGCTAGTCCAACATCTTCATCTTACAAATGAGGAGACTGAGGCCCACAGAGAGGAAGGGACTTGCTAAAAGTCATATGGCTAATAAATGGTAGTGTCAGGATTTGAACCCATCTCGACTCCAAATCTCACTCTTGCCACTACACTACTCCCACCCTCTATAAGAAGATGTGCTACCTCTCAGAATGCTCCCCAAGCCCTGGCGGGGTTGGGGGGACTGGGACAGGGGGAAGGCTAGGAGAGTGTGGCCTGGGCACAGAGGAAAGGCTGGAGGGTGGACAGGGGGGCTCTACTTCACCAGCTCAGCTCCTACCTTGCTTTCTTTCTCTTTCTGTACTTCAGCATTTCCTGAGAGCTGAGCATTCACCTAGACAGAAAGAAAAGGGGGCTCAGGGAAGAGGCTGGAGGATCATAGGATGTCAGACTCGGAAGAGAAGTTCTAGGCCAGAGGTGGGGAACCTATGGCCTTGAGGGCCCAGATTTGTTCTGTAAAATTTGGACTCAGTCAAAAGGCTGCACCTGGGGACCTAGAGGGCTACATGTGGCCTTGAGCCTGCAGGTTCCCCACCCCTGGACTAGTCCAACCCTGTCATTTGACGTATTAGGAAACTGAGGCCTGGAGAGGGGAAGGGTCTTATCCGAGGTCACACAGGTAATAAATGGCAGAATCATCCCTCTGGCTGCCATCCCAGGGAGGGCTCTTCTCCATGAGGACACATGGTTGGACACTGGAGGCTGATGTCCCTCTAAAACTTGGTCAAATCTACTTGGGCTGTCTTAGCCCTCCCCTGGAAGCGGGAGACTTTGACACTGAAGTGAGCCCCTCTGAGAAGTGTCAGGGATGTGGGAGGGGGGCAGTTTATCAGAAGGCAGAATTATGACGGCTGCTGGGTGTCCCCCTCACACACACTCAGAGCCTCATCCCTGAAGAAAGGCTCTTTCTGCACCCCCATCCCCCCCCCAGACCATATGAATAACCTGTCCCTCTCTCCCTCTTTCCTCTCCTTCCCAATTTCACTCCCTGTGGCCCCCCTCTCCCTTTTTTGCTTTCCTAATTCCTCTATTCCCCCCTACTCTTTCCTTTCCCTCCCCAAATCCCTCCCTTTGCCCCTGGGACGCTGGAAAAACTGAGCCAGCTAATGAATGGAGTCATGTGTTCTCCAGAGTCAGAGCCTGGGCTGGCTGCCCGAGGTGGGTGAGGAGGGAACGGGCCTCCCCCCAACCTCTTTGGTCCCTGCATCCTTCTGATCAATGGTGTAGGGGTGGAGGAGCCCTGGAGTTTGAGGCCCAGGAAGGGGCATAAGGGAAGCAGCTTCCTGCTTCTACTCCCCAGCACCATACTCCAGGTCCCACCCACGAGATGGGGACACACATGTCCTGGCATTACTCAGGCAGGAAATCAGAGGATCAGAGACTGTCAGAACAGGGAAGCGACTTTAGCACATCAGATGTCAGAGCTGAGGAGGAGCTTAGAACACAGAACATTAGAACCGGAAGGGAGCATAGAACATGGAATGTCATGGATGGAAGGAAGGGACCTCAAAGATCTAATCTAAGCCTCTCGGGGGGCACACACAGAAAGAGGAAGGGACTTCTGCAGACTGCAAATCTAGCGACCAAGTGCAGGTCAACCTGATGTTTTTTCCTAGGTTGGATAAGCAAGTCCGCTAGTGCTCAGTGAATCAGGGGGCTTTGGGAACCAGTGGGTCCTCCTGATGCTTAATGATTGAGTGTTTGTTAGAAATAGGATCCCAGGCCCTATCCACACATACACACACAGGCCCCTTCCCAGCTGGGTTCTGGGAGGAATCAGCAGGGTGTTTGTGAAGCCACCGAGACAGGTGGGCATCCCCTTTCTTTGTCTGCAGGCAAGGGCACGTGGGGTTCCAGCAGTTAGGCAGACCCTGGGGGTACAGCTCACCACCTCCCTGCTCCCCACAGGGCTGCTAGAACTGACAAGACCTCAAGTTATTGGAGGCATAGGAGAGGGCTGGCTGGGAAAAGGGAGAGGAGAAGGGGGGAAGGGGGAGGGTGCAGAGGCAAATTGGGCAAATATAGCCCCTGGCTGCCTGCCTTCCCCGAGGGTGTAGGGGGAGAGGGTATAGATATCAGCCTCCTGCAGTGCCCCCTTCTTCCTATTTTGGGAGGCCGTCCCCCATACCACTCACTTTGGGGAGGGTGTCGGAGAGGGAGACTGACTGTTATGGCCCCCGAGGCCCTGAGGATTCAAACCAACCAGAACTCACTTTGCTCCCAGGGCTCACCCTATGGCAGCATCCCAGCCCTGCCCCTTGGTTCTCCTCGCTCCCAGTGCCTGAAATTTCCTCCTTCCCTTCTGCCCAGACAATTCTTACCTCTTCTTAAAGCTCTTCTCAAATGCTTCCTCCTCCAATAAGTCTTCCTGGATCCCCCAACTGGTAAAAGACCGCCTTCTCTGCCTTGGAATTAAGTGTCCCTCCCCAGCACTGTTTCTGCCCATTTCCAATGCACTGATTGTGTGAGATTGTGTATACTCTGTGTTAGTGTCTCATCCTTGCTAGGGTGTGAGTTCCATGAGAGAAGGCACTGTGTCTTAGGTGAATTTTGCATGCCAAGAATCCAAAGATACAAAGTCAAATTCAGAGAACAGGCCTTCTTCTACAGGAGGTGCCTATGGAATATTTGAATGAATGAATGAATGGACGAACAGATGAATAGACGGATAGACGGATGGATGGACAGCTGGCTGAAAAATGGGCACAGCTCCTCATACCCCCCGCTCAGAGGTCTGGTGCCCATCGGGTCCCCTGCCCCCTGGCCCTAGTTCTAGGGCTTCACCTCTCCATGCTGTTCGGGGTCATTCACCTCAGGTTCACAACTCGGGCATACCCGCCACAGCTCAATCTGACTCATTTTGTGGGGTCGCATCTGGCAGGGATGGCGCATGGGGAGGTGTGGGGGCTGTGGTTAGAACATCACCTTGCTGCCCTGCGGCTCCTCCAGGCAGAAGCATCGAGTGTAGACCTTGCCCTCGGCCTGTGGACTAATCTCGATGAGCTCATTGTTCTGGGTGTCCCGCCGGGCCTTGGAGGCCTCCTGAGGGCACTGCTCGGCAAGTGAAGAGGGAGACACTGTCACTCGGGACACCTGAGTGCCACTCTGTCCCTGCCTCTCCTCCCACCCGCCCGAGGCTAGCTTCCTTGCCCTGCCTGTGCTGTGGCAGCCCCAGACCCCGAAGACAACCAGCGCTCACTTAAATGAACCACCCCCTGGGCCCCCAGGTTCCTGCACTTACCCCAGCTGGTGAGACCTCACAGCAGCCTTCCTCCATCACCAGGGCAGGGTCACAGTAGATGTGGGCCTGCTGTAAATCAAACTGGGGAGGGGGAGACAAAGGTAAGAGGGGCACAGGAAACAAAGTGGGATCACCCCAAGGGGACCTCCAGGAATGGGAGGCCATGCTGCTGGGTGATGCCAGCCCCCAGCCCCAGAAGACACTTACAAAGACGGGCTTGCCTCGCTCGGCATCCACGCCCAGGAGGACGTGGCCCTCGGGAAGCACCACATGCCGCGGACCCAAGGGTTGTGAGGAGACGGAGGCACAGTCCACGTGGACAGAGACCACTCGCCCGGTCACACTCAGCACCAGCTTGTGCCAGTGCAGGTCAAAGATCTGGGCCACAGGGAAGATGCAGGACACAAAGTCGCCATCCAAGCCACGGGCCCGGAACTCCAAGCTCTTGTCATGACTGTTGACCTCCAAGGAGATCTGAGGAGGCAAGATAATAGAATCATGGGACTGAGAGCTGGAAGGGACCCCACAGATCCTAATGTTACACGAGGAAAGCAAGGCCCCGAGAAGGAATGGGAATTCACAGCATCGCAGAATCTCAGAGGGGAAGAGGGATCTTAGCAGGTACCTCATCCAGCCAAGACAGATGCACCCAACGGATGCTTGAAACCTGAAGTGATGGGAGCTCATTACCTCCCCAAGCAGCCCTTTCTACTTTAGGACAGTGCTCATTATTAGGAAATTTTCCCAGACACCCAATCTAGATTTGTTTCTTTGTGATTTCTCCCCATTTTGCCCAGTATGTTATACCAAAAAGAGCATTAGATTTGTAGTCAAGTTCAGATTTGAACCCTGCTGCTTGGTAACCGTGTGACCTTTCCAAATCAAGTCCTACCCTTCTCTAGGCCTGGGTTCTGCCTCTCTCAGATGGAGATTTCCATTTGTCCTCATTCAATCACCCTTTTCACCACCACACATCACTCTCACATTCCTACCCAACTATAAGGAAGTTTTCCAGTTGGCCCTGCCCTATAGACTAAACCAATGAGCTTGGCCCGATGGGGCCTGGCAGCCAATTGGAGGCTCTTGAATGATAAATGCCATCTTCTTTGGGGACTATAAAGGGGGGAGTGCTCTAGGCTGGTTAGGGAGCTAAGTGCCATCATCACCAGCCTGGGACTGGAGAGTTTTCTGTTATTCATACAACTGATGGCCTTCCCCTGGTGCCCCATCTCAGCATTTGTATGTTCTCTTTGTCCTTGCAAATAAACCTCATAAAGAAAGGCACACAGAAGGCCCAGAATGGGTGGAGAGAGCAGCTGCCTCAGCTGTCAGAGGAGGGCTGCACTAACAGGCAGGAGATCTGGGTCCTAGCTCTGCCACTAAATGTCCGTGTGACTTTGACCAAGTCCATTCCCTTCCTCTGTGCCTCTGTTACCTCATCAATCAATGAGGGGATTGGACCAGGTGGTCCCTGAGGTTTCCTTCTTTCTAGTTTCAACCGTTTCAGTACTTTCTGGGAGGAGGGCCTGTAGGGGAAGCAGAGACCCAACTGGGGCAGTCTGTTGTAGTAGCTTGTAGAATTGGGGAGATAATTGTGATCAAGGTCCTACTGCTCTCTCAGCCCTAGGAGCCAAGCAGATTCAGAGGATGGGAAGGCCAGATGGCTCAGAGCTTGGGTTGGGATGGGAAGGATAAAAAGGAATGAAGGGGGGAAGTCCTAGAGGTGAATGCCCCTTGGATCTTCTCAGAGGAGTGGGCATCACTAGGTTCCTGAAATCAGCCCCACCAAAGAATCCTTCACACACTGCACCCCTTCCCCTCCAGGCTCTGTATTCCAGTAGGGGGGGCCCATGATGGGCAGTGCCAAGGCAGCTGGTGGCATTGTTGGTGAGGGGTAACCCAAGGGCCCCTTCTCAGGGCTCTGAGTGGCCAGTACAGGGTGATGAGAAAGGATGAGGGCTGGAAAACTCCTGGGGGGAGAGGAAAAGAGGCAGGGGTGGAGCAGGCAGGTAAGCAGTGAGGTGGGGGCTGAGTAGACAGGAGGTGGACAGGGCAAGGGACGGCAGGGTCTCAAGATGCATATGGACATACGCCGAAGATGATGCCCCAGGGCAGAGCAGAGAAGACAAAGAGAGTAAGGAGAAGATGGAAAATCAACCTAAAATCACAGATTTAGAATTGGGGGGGATCTCAGAGATCACCTAGCAGAAGGGCTCTTAACTTGGGGTCCATGAACTTAGATTCTTAATATTTTGGCAATGATTTTGATATAATTGGTTTCTCTTACAATCTTATGCACTTAAAAACATTATTCTGAGACTGTGTGCACAGACTTCCCCAAATTGCCAAAGGGTTCCACAACGCAAAGAAAATAGGGAGTACTCTTCTAGTTCATCCCCTCATTTTATACATGAGGAAACTGAGGTCTCCCAAGAAGCAGTGACTTGTATGAGGCTGCCCACAGAGCATGTAGCAGAGCTGGGATTAAAAACTGGGTTCTCGGACTTTGCATCCAAGGATCTTCCCTGGGCTGGGTGGGGAGGAGACTGAGGAGTGAAGGTAGGTGGCTCGAAGGATGATCCATCAGGGCTGGGTAGCAGGTAGGAAGACTAGTGAGGGGTGAGGAGGACCCGGGGGGGAAGAGGGGCAAGAAGACAAAGTGAGGACCAGGGCAGGGGAGCGGAAGGATGCAGGAAGGGACAAGGAGAAGAAGGATTAGGGCAGGACCGTATTAGTGGGAGAGAAAGAGGCTAGAGTGGGTGGAAGGCCCAAGGAGGTGGGGAGAGAAGGGGAGGAGGCCAGGGGAAGCAGGAGGCTGAGGCTCACCTGTGGGTACCCATCCTTATCAGTCACTTGCAGTAAATACCAGGTGTCTTTGCTTGTCTGTTTTTCAGCAGAAGGGTCAGCACTATTGCAAACTGGTCAGGGAGACCCCCAGGGAACACCTGGCTGGAAGGAGGAGGAAGGAAGGACCACTGAGCCTTGCCATCATCAGAAGCCCACCTTGTTGGTTTTGGCTTCCTCCCATAGTCCACGTAACACCACTTCTTACCCCTAGTATCTTCTCTTATTCCATTACCTGCCAGGTACCTACTCTTTCCCCTAGTATCAGGATAATGCCAGCTCAGCAAAGTGCCAGGAGAATGTCCATATTGCTTAGTGTCAACCTAAGGCCAAGTTCTCCACTGCCAGTCAAGTATTAGGTCCTGCCTGTTGCTAGTATAGCATCCAGTCTCCTTCCTTACCCCTACCGTACCCTAATTCCTGCCTGCCTGGGCCCAGGGCCCATCTGGGGACAGATATGCAGAGACTGGAGGATCAGAGTTGACGGTGAAGTCCAGCCTGCCTTCTTGAGCAGCATGTGGATCTGCCCTTGTGAAAACTCATCCTGTTCTTGGGCACTGAAGTCCAAGCCAATCAGCATGGGGCTGGGACGGTGGCAAAGTGGACCCAGCAGCAGGGGAATGGCTTAAAAGCCCTAGAGAGGTACCCTCCCTGGCTACCCAGGGGCACTCACGCTGTGGGGAGAGCAATCTGGGCATTCCCCAGCCGCAGAATGAAGGGCCCTTTGGGGTTCCGGATCCTTTTGATGGCTGAGACCTTCATGAGGGCAAACCTCTTGATGAGATTGAAACCTGGGGAGAAAAGAGGGGTTCAGGTAGCTCAGCTGAGGGGCGGGTGAGAAGGTACCTTGGATGCGCAGGGACGGGGAGGGGCTGGGGAGAGCCAGGACTCACCTGTCATGTTGGCTGGGGCATCACCACCGGCCTCTAGCCTCAGCCCCTCTTGTTGCAGGGTTGGGCATTGTTCACCTGGAAGAGAGAGGGCATGAGCTCTCATGCTCAGGCGTAGGGCACCTGGAATGCTTAGTGTTCCCAGAAGACACAGGTTCCATAGTGTCGGCCTACCCACTGTAGGCACATACCGGACCAGCCTTGGCACTGCCCCACCTTTCTTCTGCCCTGTTGGCCCCAGGAGAACCAGGCAGGACCTTCCTCAGTCAGGCACAGAAATGAGGGGAGGCAGAACAAAAGGGAGAGGAGAAACCATAAGCAGTGTCCCCATTTGACAGAAGAGAACACTGAGGCCCCACGAGGGGAAGCCATTTGCCCAAAAGAGCGCATGGAGGTAGAGGCAGAGCCTACTTTCTGCTGTTCCATTGTTGCCCCTGGGGCACTGGCAGAGGTGGCAGAAGCCAGAGACATGGGACAAGGAGTCATGGGGAGCAGCTTCATCATAATCAAGGAGTGTGTGAAAGGATAGGGCTGGGGAACTACCATGTGTGATGACCCCCCAGAACAGATCGAGTGACTGCTTACAAGAAGGATGGACGTTAGATACCAGAAAGGACACCTGGCCTCTTTGGGTGGGAGAATCCTGTATGGGCTAGTCTGGTCTTCCAGACTGATCTGAGTGCATCCTGAATGAGGAATGGATTCTGTGGGCTTTTTGGCTAAGAAGAGCAGACTCCTGGGTTTGGGGTCCAGGAGCCCTGGCACTCTCCACTCCTTACATACATATGCAGCCGGAGGGGCCATCTCCATCAGCAGCAGCCTGGGTGACTCATCGCCTGGCCTGGTGCCCAGATTCCTCAGAGATGTTGAAATCTGCTGCCCCAGCCCCCAAGGACACTCATGGAGAGGGGAGTGGGTGAAATGCACATACACGTGTGCACATGTAGCCGCATGAATCCAGGAGCATTCAAGCATCCAGTCACAGGGACAGTGAAGTTTGGCACCAGCTCACAATCACACAGACCCAGCCCGCTCCCTACCTCTGTGCTGCTGACCCCGGGGGGCTCCTCTGGCCCAGAGGAAAGGAGACATATAGCTCCCGGAAGGGGCTCTGGGGCCCTTGACAAACTGAGGGATCCCTTGAACAGCTTCTCTCCCGGCCCTTGGGCCGGCACCCAAAAGGAATCATGCCAAAGCTGTTTCCCCTGGCACTGACTCTGGGAATAGTCCAGACTTCTGTCTAGTCTTGGGTCTGGGCTCCTTTGTAGCCCCTCCCCCATCTCCTGCCATGCTGAGGCAACAGGACCTCCCCAGAAGGCTGTGCTTGGACCAGGCCCCCACATGATATTCCACAGTGAGCAAAGCAGGGAGCGGAAGGACTCAGATCCCCTCTGCAGTGAGGCTTTGCTCGCAACTCCAATGGGCCACTGGCATTGGAGGCATCTGTGGCTGCAGAGAGGCTGGGCTGGGGCTGGCAGAAGTCCATTTCCTCCCAGACACACTCGCATGCAGCCTAAGACATGCTCTGGGGCAAGGAGGGTCCACTTACTCCCTCCCCCACCTCCATGCAGAAGGAGCCCTAGAGGCAATCCCACACAGACACAGACAGACAGACAGACACACACACACACACACACACACACACACACACACACAGAGATACACAATGACACAAATACACTCAGACATAGAATCAAATGCAAAGGCCAAGGCTGCTGGACTCATTAGTCACCCTTAGAGATAAGTCCAATGCAGGCCTCTCCCCCTTTAGTCACCTCCTGGGACCCTCTGCTCCTGAAATGGGAGGGAGGGACCTGGGCCCAGGTTCTGTCGGAGGATCAGGGATGGATACACCTGAGTCCTTACCAGTGTCCGCTTCTTGACTGCCACAGGTGACCCACAGGCTGATCAGCCACAGTGCTGGAGCCCAAGCTGCCAACATGCTGGACTCCAGATGTCACCTGGGAAGGAGGCAGGCCTACGTGAGAGAGAGGAAAAGGGAGATGAGAGCTGACCTCTCCCATTCACAAAAGGAAACCACTGGGGTCTGAGTGGCCCCAAGAACTCTAACAAGAGACACACCTCCTATTCCTGTGACCGTGCTTTATACTGATCCAGACCTAGCAACTGGTGCCGGACACCCACGCCTGCTTTAGTTCACCTGGACGTGGACACCCCTCAGTGACCACCCAAGTGGAAAGAGCTGATGAGGCTGGGACCAAGCCTAAATGGAAGCACCAGCTGTTGGCAAGGTGAGGGACCAGGGAGACGCAGGCCAGGCCAAAGGCCACCAGGGGGCGCAGTGTGGGCCACCTGTCAATGTCCCATAATAGATTAGGCCCATTTAATTTGATTAAACCAAGATTAATGTGAGGAAATACATCAGCCTGAGCTTACCCTTTCAACAGGACTGACCCATAAAACATCCCAATATCTCAATCTCCCTCCCTCCCTTACCTGCACGGGTCCAGCAAAGGTCATTAAGTCTAGCACCCTGTCTCTTGGCCAGCACAGGAAGAAGGGGTTAGTTGGAGGAAAGGAGCTACCCCAAACCTTTTAAGGCTGGGACAGCCCTCTGCTTGGGCTGATGTCTGACCTCCCTCCCTACTGCTGTAGTCACTTCATAGAATCATAGAATGATCACAAAGCTTGAGGAGACCTTGGATAACATCTGGTCCAAATGTTCCCTCCCCCTCCAGTTTTACAGATGGGGAAACGGAGGCTCAGAGAGGGAAAGAGACCTGTCCAGGATTGCACATTTAGTGTTAGGATTGGAACCCAGGTTTCCTTACTCCAAGAACCGGTGTGCTTTCTATGGCACCATGTTAACTCCACTGGTTCAGCTCTGGGGAAGACAGGGGGCAGAGGAACATTGTCTCCTCAATGGAATTGGAGACCATTATTCTCCAGCCTCTTCCTCTTCCCCTCAGCTTTTTCTTCCCAAGGTAGTCTGGGTCAGCAGGTTTCCCTCTGTCTCTGCCTTCCGGGAGCTTGCAGGGCCTCCAGCCTAGCACTGGCCAATGGAAAGAAGCCATGACATGGGGAGGCATGTGGATTCGGGCAGTAACCCGGACATGTATGTACCTGTGTGACCTCCATTCCTGCCTCCTGTCTCTCTTCTAGTCCCTTCTCCTCCAATCTCCTTCCTCTCTCCTGTCCCACGGCTTTCCCAAATTCCTGCAGTCCTTCCTTAGCCCTAAACGTGGCTTGGTGGTAGAGGGGGGATGGATGCTGATGCCACCGAAGGGGAAGGTCCTGAAGAGCTTTGGGAGAGTGGCTGTGGGGAGCTGGGGCAGACAGGACCCTCCTTCTTCACTCCCTGAAGCTCTGGCTCGTCCCTAACTGGACACCCAGCCCTAGAGTAAGCATGGGAAGGAAGCTGAGAAACAGCTGAGAATCTGGCTGCCTGGGGCCGGGACGGGGAAGGGGTTGGGGACCGGGGTCCCCCACTTACCTGCCTGAGGCCTGACGGATGCCTGGGCACCCGCCCCCAGGCTGGGAGTGGGGCCAAGAACCTGGCTGCCTGGGCCTTGGGGACCAGGGGTGAGTGGGCTGGGGGACCCCCCCACAGGCTCTCCTGGGACCTGGGGTTCCCGACCTGCTCGTGGTGCTCTTGCTGTGTCCCCTTCTAGAGCGAGCCTAAGACTGGCGGGCCTGCCGGGCCGCGGCTGAGAGGGGGAGACTAGGCGGGTGGAGGCTGGCCCCTCGCCAGGCCTTCAGCTAATGAGAGCCAGCTGTGGCGGGGCCGTCCGCCGAGGAAGGGGGCTCCGAGGCCAGTTAAGCTAAGCTGGGGGTTCGAAGGGGCTGGACCGAGCTGCCCTGCCTCCTGCCCACCCCGCCCCCCCAATCTTCCCCTTTCCCTGCCAGGTGAATCCCCAGTCCACAGTTCTAGGCGTGTCTCACATTGCATGGAGACAGCGTCACAGGAAGGGCCCCCCTTCAAGGGAAACAGGATTGCTGGCTTTTTAAGAACTTGGAAAGAAAACTTGGAAAGTCATCCTCAGTTCCCCTCTTTTCTTTCTCCACCTCCTTCCCACTGGCTCCCAGGATTGCCCCCTTGCTCTGTCCAGGGCCTGAGAAGACATCTCTAGGGGAGACCCCCCCCAGTCCCCGCCCCCGTTCCAAGCTCTATGGCTCCCCCCACCCCCACTGTGACGTGGCCATTGGCCTCCATGGTCTGCGTTTTTCCAACCTCAGCATCCCAACCACAAACTCTTTCCCCGAAGGCTCCCAAGTCAGTTCCCAGTCATCTATCTGTCTGCTACACCCCCAAGCAGAATTTAGGGAGAAGAGAAATCGCAAAATCATAGATTTAGAGCTGAGAGGAACCTTTGAGACCCCCACCTTTTTTCAGACAAAGAAAACTGAGCCCCAGAGAAGGAAGGGGTCTTGCCCAAAGCCCGGATGAATCAAAAGGAGTTTGGACCCCAAAAGAAATAGTTGCTGGTGTCAGGGAACATATATAGAATCCACAGATACAGAATAAATACAAATAAATGCAAGGTAGTTGGGGAGGGGGCACACTAGAAGTTGGGGTGAGCAGGAAAGGCTTCCTGGAGAAGGTCTAAGGCTTCTTCATGATAAGAGCTGAGTCTTAAAGGAAGTGGAGGATTCTGTGAGGCAGAGCTGACACGGGAGTGCATTCCATGCCTGGGGGATGTCCTGGTGAACAAAGACATGGAAATGGGGGGGGTGGAATGCAGGGGTGAGAAATGGAGAGGCCCCTTTGGTGGGACTGAAGAATTCAAGAAATGAAGCAAGGAATGACAAAGCTCTAAAGGTTGTCTGGGGTGCAGCTACTGGCACAGTGGATAGAGCACCACGCCTGGAGTCAGGAAGACTCCTCTTGCTGAATCCAAATCCAGCTTCAGACACTTTATTAGAAGCGTGATCCTGGGCAAGTCACTTCATCCTGCTTGCCTCAGTTTCCTGATCTGTAAAATGGGCTGGAGAAGGAAATGGCAAACCACTCTAGTATCTCTGCCAAGAAAACCTCAAATGGGGACGTGAAGAGTGGGACAGGGCTGAAACAACTGAACGGCAAAGGTCGTCTGGGGCCAGGTTGTGAAGGGCTTTCTAGCCAAACAAAGGAGTTTATATAGGATTATAGAGGCAATAGAAAACCACTGGAATTTTCAAGTAGGAGAATGACATGGTCAGATCTGTACTTAAGGAAAATCATTTTGGCAGCTGTGGAAGATGGAGTGGAGTGGTGAGAGAACAGTCAGGAGACCACTGCAATAGTCTGTGTTAGAGGTAACAAGGGCCTGAAGTAGAGAGTTGGCCATGTGAATTCTGGGAAATGGATGGTAGTAGTAATAATAAAGTGATTTTATTTTAGGATTTCTTTGAGGGTGTACAAAGCCCTACCTCCATAATAGTCCGCTAAGGTAGGCAGCATGTATTTTTATCCCCATTCTGCAGATGAGAAAATTGAGGCTCAGAAAAATAAAGAAATTTGCCTATAGCTATGACGTGACTAAGCTAGGACTCAAAACTAAATCTGGATCCAAGAGCCCTTCCCCACCAGCAGGGCTCATGCTGTGGACTCTCAGGTCTAAATCCTCCCAGAGGAACCACCACTGAGCAGTTTTCAGCACACCAATCCATTAGAATTAGCATGCAAGAGGAAGGGGACTCCAAGGGGAACGCTAGCCATGACAGGATCCCCCTGCCCATCTCCCACCCTCAGGGACACTAGGAAGGGAGAAGTAACCTGGAACCCTGAGGCTATTCTGTGTGGTTGAGGCTCTGGCTGAGCCCACATGGGAAGAAGAAAGAAGTAGCTTTAGGTGAAGAAGAGCCTGAAGCAGTGACTTAGAGGAAGCTGAGTCAGTGGAAACCCAACCACGGTGTTCAGTGTTCCTCGGGGCAGCCCTCAGGAACCAGTTCCCAGCCACAGTTATAGGGAAAGTGCTGAGTTCAGCAGAGACACTCAGCCAGGAAGGAGGAGGGAGGAAGGAGGGGTGATAGCATGCAAGGAGGGGCGGTGAGTGCTGGAACCCAGATGTCTATTTCCCCAATTCCATAGCCCCAGGTGCTTGGGGGTGACAATGATGGAGTAAAACAAGATGGAAACTCTCATGGTCAAGAAACATTACCCGAGGCTTGTGAAATGGGCCTATTCAATTTTGACTTCCCCTTTGGCACGAAGCTATGGGCAGAATCAAAAATGTAGTGGACTAATCCTTGGAGCTCCAGATTGGAAGTCATAAATTCTTAGATTGTTAGAGCCTGAAGGTCCTTAGAGATGCTCTAAAACACTTCATTTGTTTTGCAAGGCCCAGGATCCCCAGTGTAGAGAATTAACTTGCAGGTCACACAGCAAGTTGGTAGAGGAGTTGAGAATTGGAACTAGGGCTTCTGACTCCTAGTTTAGTACTCTTCAGGAGATCTAGATTTAGGATTTAACTCTTTCCAGTCAATTTATCTTTCTAGGACTCAGTTTCCTTATAAGCTTAGAATTTTCCAGAGCTCCCTAGGGTCAATATCTCTTTTGGCTCATTGTCCCCACCAAGAGCTTATAGCTCATTAAAAGTTATTTCCCCAAATGCAGACCATGTGTCTCTAGTTTATAAACAAGCACTGAGGATAATAAATGTATATCAGATGCAGGACAGCTTATATTCCACTCCTCAGAAAGAGTAAAGGACATAAATGAATCATAGAAGCGTGCAAATAAATGTAGAAAATACAGAAAGGGAGTTAGAATAGCCCACAAATAAGCAAGAGAGTTTTTCTCTCCTGGTGGATCTTCCTTTTCCACCAGAGTCCTAAAATGCTTCTGAACCAGTACTACTCCATGGCTTACACATCCCCACAAAGCAAATACGCTCTACTGGAGAGGCAGCCCCCTTTCTGTATTACCTACATGGTCTGACTAGGCCTAGTTATAGACCTGTCTTCTGTTTCCCCATGTTGTGGCTGTAGTCCCTTACTGTCCTCCACACCAGTCCCCATGCACATACCCCTTATTATGCTCCCAAAGGAATCATAAAGTAAAATGAAGCCCAAAAGGGCTGAGAACATCTGTCATCTTATACATCAGGTCTAAGCATGGCTCCTTCCAACAGACTCTTTTCTCCAAGAGTCACAGAATCATAAAGTTAGAATGAGAAGGGCCTTTAGAGGCCATCTGGTCCGACCCCCTTATTTTACACATAAGGAAACTGAGGCCCAGGAAGGATGAGGGACTAGCTGAAAATCACACAGGTCGACTCTTTAAATGTCAGAAGCAGAATCTGAACCCAGGTTTCCTGACTCTACACCCAATGCTCCACTGTATTATGAGGCCTCCAAATTGCCTTGATGGCCACCCAGTCACTGAAACCCACCTCTTGGGAATGCTAAGAGCTAACTCTTATCTAACCAATTCCTCTTGGGACAGCCCCAGTTATTGAGACTTGACAGGGCGTTATTTTTTATCCTCTTAAGGTACCAGTGGGCATGTCCACACCTGGAGAGATATAGACACTCAAAGCTTAAAAAGGCTCGCCAAATTGATCAGAGAATAACCCCATATATCCTCATCTGTCAATCAGGGATGGTCATCTTCGCCTGCTTTCCTCCTATGGCTTTTATAATGATGGACAGGTACCAACATGGCCTCACTGGATTTAGCATCAAAGCACCTCATTGTAGTCCCTGTTCTACCACTTAATTCCTGTGTGATATGGAAACCATGGAATCATCTATTGGGGCTTTAGCTTCCCCATCTACAAAATGAGGAGGTTGGATCACATGACCCCTCATCTCTCTTCCCTAAGCTGGTGGTACCAAATTCAAATACCAATGGGGGCCTCTATTCCATACATAAGGATCCCTGCAGGCTGCATATTGACTTAGTTTTAAAATATAATATTGTCTATGTTTTATCGTACTTTTATTTATTTTGTTCCATATTTCCCAATTTCATTTTAATCTGGTATGGGCTTCACTGGGAAATGTTGACAGATGAGGATATATGGGGTTATTCCCTGATCAGTTTTATGAGCCTTTGTAACCTTTGCTTGTCTGTACCTCTCTCCACAGAGGGTGTGGAAATGCCCACTGGCACCTTAAGAGGACAAAAGACCATGAAGAAGGCCCAGGACAGCACCCTGAGGGATGCTTCCAGTTAGAGGACATGATATCTGGAGGAGGATACAGCAAGGAAGACAGAGAAAGAGCAGTCAGATAGGTAGAAAGAAAACCTAGAGAGAAGAGATTATCAAAGAGGAGGGGGTGATGAACAGTGCTGAAGGCTGCAGAGAAATAAAGGAGAATGAGGATAGAGAAAAGGCCATTGGATTTGACAGCCAAGAGATCATTAGCAACTTTGGAGAAAGCAGTTTCAGGGCAATGATAAGGTCAGAAGCTAGATTAAAAAGGCTTAAGAAGAGAGTGAGAGGAGAGAAAGTAGAGGCAGCTATTGTAGCCTGACTTTTTGAGGAGTTTAGCTACAAAGAGCAGAAGAGAAATAGGATAATAGTTAGCAGGGATGAAAGGACTCAGGGAAGGGCTTGTTGTTTTTTTCAGGATGGGGAGACATGGACATTTTGTAGACAGTAGAAAATGAGCCAATAGAGAGGGAGAGATTGAAAATAAGGGAAGGAGTGAGGGTGATAGAAGGGGCAATCTGTTGGAGGAGACAAGTAGAGAGGTTAGCCTTGGTAAAGAGTACAGCCACTTCATCATATGAGACAGGAGGGAAGGAGGAGAGCAGCAAAAAGCACCTGTGTGATAGGAAATGAAGAGGGGAGAAGAGAGACTTCATGGTGAATATAAGGCAAGTTTCTCAGCTAAGAGACTAGGGACAAGAGGAGCCATGGGTGCGGTTTGAG